AGATTCCTATATAAGGAACTTTAGAAGGGGTCTATAGGAGTTATATTTAAGGGCTTATATATTAGCTATTTACTAGTTATAATAATATTAACTTAGGTCCTTCCTTACTCTTTCTTTATCTACTAACTTAGAAATTAATAATTAGATTTAAATCTATTATAGTACTTCCCTATATTAATTATATCTCCTTATAACTTTATTATTATTAGAGGGGGTATAGCTAGCTTAGTAGTAGTGAATAGATTATCTAAGAGTGTTAAGGTTAATATACTTATACTAGAAGCTAGTACTAATTATAGCTCTAATACTTAAGTCTAAACCCTAGGATTCTATCCTATACTAGCTAGTTTAGAGGTTAACTAGGCCTTCTAGAGTAAGAATCAGGTGTATAGATTAATTAAGTTATATTTATATTAAAGTATAAAGCTAATATTAATATAAGCTAAGTCTAAATAAGCGGCGCATTAATTTACCCTAAGGAAAGGCCCTTAGTGGATTAAGCGCTATTAACGCCTATATTTTCGTCCCTCCTTCGAAGAGCCTAGTTGATTCCTAGGGCCAGTTAGGGAACTAGGACTAGAATTAGGATATTCTATAGCTATAGGTTTATTTAATAATATACGATCTTATTTAATAGAATTACTAACTATTAATTAAGTTATTTCACTAAAGTGTATACTAGCCTATCTACTAAAGGGTTATTAGCTAAGGTTCTTAGAATAGAAGGATAGACATCCTAAAATAAGTAAGCTAAGGGCCTTATTAAAGCCTTATTCTTAGGAAATATATCCTACCCTATTAGAGAGGCTTAGGCAGATGTGTTTAAGTCTAGCTACTTATACACTAATAACCTATATATTAAAATTTTAGTTAGTGGTTTTAGTACCTTAGTAAGCATAGATCTAGATAAGAAAGAAAGAAGCTATACTACTTTAGCGTATTATTAGCTAGTTAAAGATTAAGGGAACCTATATATACTTCTTAATACTACTATTAAGAAGATTTTATTTAATATAGCTACCTTACCCCTTAAGGTGATTAGTATACTCTATAGATATAATAAGGAGTTAAAGAAGGTACGTCGTATAAAGGAAGTAATCCTTATAGCTAGAGCTTTATAATCTCCTAAAGTGCTTAAACTATTAGGAGTTAAGAGCTAAGATCTTCTCTAATCCTATAGGATTAAGGTTATTATAGACTTACCTATAGTTAGAGAAAACCTTTATAACTACCCTCTTTATAGTATACCCTTCTATATTAAGGATAACCTTAATATATTTAATGCCCTTATTAGATAGGAGCTAGAGGCTATAGTAAAAGCTATAGTAGAATATATAGCTAATTAAACTAGGCTGCTAAATTCTATTAGAGTTAATACCTATACCTATCTTTTAATCTTAGAAGGGAATTAGGACTTAATTAGAAAACTCCTAGATAAGAATACTCCACCTTAGGGGGACTACCTAGAATAAATATACGCTTAGGTATATTACGCTATTATAGAGAAAATGTTACTAAATAGGAGAGAGCTTTTTAGAGCCTATCTTTTAGTCTTAGCCTAGTATCTTATTCTACCTCCCTTAAAGTCTCTATTACCTATAAGGCTAATACCTAGAAAGTTCCTTTCTATTAGCCTTATACTCTCTTAGCCTCTTTCCTATAGAAGTGTTTATATCTAGTCTATAGATATCTTAAGAGCTCCCCTTATAAATTCTAATTACTTACTTTATCCTATTAATATAGAGGTTATAGCGTATTATATACTTTATATTAAGAAGATTATTTAGAAAGCGCTAATTAGTAAGCTTTTATAATCCCTGTTAAAGTACTATAACCCTACTATATAACTTTTAGATCTAGATAGTATAAAGGATTACTTTTATTTAAGTCTTATCTTAATATAGCACCTTGTAGGAAGCTATATGATATTACTAAAAGAGAAAGGTGGTGTTATAGATTCTAAGTTAAAGGTTTATAGTGTGTCTAATCTACGGATTATAGATACTAGTGCTATTCCTTTGGTTAGTACTGTAAATATATAGGCCACAGTGTATACTTTTGCTAAAAGAGCGGCGGATTTGATCAAGAAGGATTACATGTTTAAATAGGAGTTGTAGTATTCCAGCTTCTTTGCTCTTGGCTATGGTTGCAGAAGGGGTTAATACAGGGCCCGTCGTTCTCTTATGTCCTAACTTATGTGACGATACTACGATAAAAGCAGTTGATCGCCTTAAAGAACGAGCTGCAAAGCCTTCCCACCATCCCCTATCCTAACGCCGCTAAAAGTATTAACTAATCACTACTTAAATCATGGATGGGTTTTGTACACTAACATGTGAGGATACAAGAGGAGTAAAGCAATATCGGAGTTTGGCACATTGGCTAATATAGGATTCCAATATTAATACTTGGGGTGAGCGCGCTACTTTTGGTACACGTAGAGCTATAATCATAGGTCCCGATCATGGGCCCTAACATTACACCTCTGAGTGCTTTAAGGTTGCATTCGGGATTCTGAACAATGGGTTTAGTATCTTCGTGACAGCAATTTCCTTGTAGACAAACCATAACTAGCCTCTCTTGGTAGACAGAGCCCACCCATATGCTTCTGCAGCTCAATAGGCTGGATTGTAAGCCGATTTTAGTGGTTCTGTGGCCTCTTTCCAGTCAATATTGGTGACAGATAACTTGAAATACATAATGGAAGGGGTCTGGCCAGTTGGGCATCAATGCCGCCGATCGTCAAGGAATGGGGGTGAGCCTAATAGTCACCGGGATATTCCGAGTCATCTCTTGGTTGCATGCCAAGTCTCGAGAGTAAGTCCCCGACTGGTCTGAATCTGACCTGAAAAGCAGTCCTCAATAACGTAAGTCCCAGGTTGGGCTTTATTAACTGAAATGGAGGCAGCTGGACGAGAGAACACTTCTCCCAAAAGCCTCTTAATGAGAGACTAGTTCATAGTAGAAAGAGAGATGTTTAATCCATGCACTATACCCTAGGTAATTAAGGCACAACATGCTTGATTCTCTACCAAACCTCCTCTTTCAATCTTACTCCAGTCGATAGGTCGCTGCTTACTGGTACTACGTTGGTGTCGTGTTTATGGTGCATGCGACATACCGCCAGCCCAACCTCAGGAAAATTATTCCCATTAGGGCTGTGGGGAAGTCGTCAGCACTAAACTTTCGACTTTTTACAAGATCTACTTCGCAAGTGGCAAAGTGAGACGCGAGATTCTCGGCCGATCTAGTACTGACTCATAAGAGCAAACATACAGCAATACCATGATGCCCTCGAGATTACTCTTCCAACTGATATTTAATCAGCGACACAAGCAACGCGAAATAGAGGCTTGAGCGCACCAAAGAAATCTGAGCAAGATCATTATCGCAAGGCTTGTCACCTCCGAGTTGTGCCTGATGACGGCTTCACTAGCGCTAAAGCCGTCTTCAAATAGTCCGTTTTGATTGTACGATTTGTGCATTCCCCTCATGACCGGAGACAGCGAGTGCCTATTCCCGGATACCTCGGTGAGCTAGTCATCAGGATTCAAAATTCCACGCAATCAATGGCTTGCTGCGTTGTCGGGATGCGTAGGGACAAATCCAAAATCCGAGAACTTGGTTACCGCACTACCCAAACCCAAGTAAGATTAGCCACTGGTAGACCTTGAGAACCAGATTCTCGGCGCCAAGATGGTTCATCTGTCGATCTAATTTCTGATACATCACGCCATCCTTGCAAGTGGCGATAAACTCCGTCTCCCACCGTAAGGACAGGGTGTATCGGACACTGCTCGAGCACTCTGTTCAATAATCTCGAATACTGTCCAATAGTATTACATTTGAAGATAAAGCTCTTATATGAATAGTAAACCTGATGATGTTCTTATTCTTTAGTAATAAAGCCAAGTGATACTTATGGTTGAGCTGGCCGTGAAAGCGGCTGATCCTACTCGAAATACAAAAGGGTTCACATTTTCCGTTCTCCGGGATCTCCCCGGGAAGACCTTGAATTGACGCTCCACCATGAGAATTCACTAACCGATCTCCAGGATAGGAGCTCTGCGCTGTAAATCGGTGCCTGGTTCATTGCAGGCCGATTCCTTCGTTTCCCGGGGTAGACACGGGTTTTCCGGCGGGTCTGCAGGTAGCTTCGTGTTCCCCTGTTCTTGGGGAAGTATGTTCCCCGTGGCGTTAGGCACACTTCTATGGATCCTGGCTAGTGGCGAGAAGTGTGTTGAGGAAAGTCATGGCTCATGGACCTTTCGGTAGTGTGCTGACCTTAGTGCCATCTCCAGACTTTTCAAGACCAGTTCTCTGACTGCCTACCACCACAAAGTGGAAAGCTGGGGTATGGGTTCTTAGATATCCTTTCCCTTCGGGGTATGTTCTCCGAAGGACTCCGGTAAAAATTAGCCCGGGCTAAAAGAAAATGAGGTGTGGTCACTAAAATGTCCGGTGTTTTCTGTCTAGCCGGGGATCGGCTCTGTGAAGCCGTCCCCATAAGTTCTAAGAATACTAGCACTAACAGTTCCATCTAATTGGTAACAGGTAGTTTAGTACCAGTATGTATGTGATTTAGTCACCTGCATAATCAGGACTAGTCGTGTACTGCTACTGGTAATATGCGAGATCCGTAACTTGTGGGTGGTTGTGATCCCAGTTCTGCACCAACTCCCCGGGTCAACTGCAAGACTAGATCAGCTTGGCCCATCATAGTGTAGCTCCTACGGGCTTAGCTAGCAACAACTCGACGGATGCCAAGCGACTGATAGTTCAAGGGCAGGGCCTCGATGCTAATTGCCTGACTCTGTCCAGCACTTAAAGGTCTGCCCCCGATCGGGATTTTGACAGGCTCTGACTGCATCCCGAGTTCCAGAGAATGTGAAGGACGGGATTTTGACAGGCTCTGACTGCATCCCGAGTTCTAGAGAATGTGAAGGCCGGGATTTATCCATCACTATTACAATTGTTTGGTTTTCCCCCTACAGGCAACCATGGCGCTTCAGCCTACAGGGCCGGCACTGGGCCTTTTTCTTCTTTCAATTATTCTACTCTCGTTCTCATGGCTGACTATGGGTTTGAGAATTTGGGTGCGAACGAGTATCAGATCGATGGGGCTCGACGATTATATGATGGTTGCTGGCTTAGTGAGTCCTTGATTTATCTACTTACTCATGTCTTTCGAAGGCCTTTTTTGCTGACAGGTATTAAGGCTTTTTACACAGCAGCATGTATCTCAACTATCGCAGGATCTTTGAATGGCGTCGGCTCTCCACCAGAGATGATTACAGACTACTATGACAAGCAGGGCAGGATGGTACGCCACATCATCATCTCACAACAGTATGAGGGTAATTTCAGGCTTACAAGTTATACAGTGGTTCATGTTTTTCCAGCTCTTCTATGGTTTGTCATAAGATCTCTCTGCTACAAGAGAATTCTCCTAACCTGAGACATAATACTAGTTCTTTCGACCGTTCCTATAAAGGCATCTATCTGTGTCGCCCTGATTAGAATTACAAACCAAAAGATATATCACTATATCATATACGCCGTCATTACTTTGTCAACTATCGCTGCTGTGGTCACTGATATCGCCGTACTCGCTTGGTGTAAACCTGTCTCCGCAACTTGGGACCCAAGCCTGGGATCATGCGCCGACGCGAGTCTAATTACCAACGTGTCCTACTACATTTCAGCGACGTCGATCCTTACGGATTGGACCGTTGCTGTGTTGCCAGCCTGCATCCGTAAGCCGTCACCAAAGTCACTACGGATGAGTATCTTAGCTAACTTGAGGTCTCTCCTCAAATAGTATGGGATGTCCAACTGCACTACAGAATAAAGGTTCCAGTGATGATTCTTCTGGGATTCGGGTTCGTGTATGTTTTAAATCTTCCTCGAACTGATAAGCTTTAATCACTCTCTGACTGTTTTATAGTGCTAGTACTGCGACACTCGTCCGTTTACGATACCTCCTTGCCTACAACGCCACGGAATCCTATCTCCTCAACATTGCACACATCGCGATTTGGTCCATAACTGAGTCAGGATTAGGCCTGATTGCCGGTTCCATGGCCACACTGCGCCCCTTACTCAAGTACATTCCATGGCTTGGTTCTATATCATCATCCAGCGGCGGTGCCACAACAAAGTCAGGAAAAAGTCGTCAACCGGGTGCCAGCTCACACAGGATGCAGTCACTGGCCCACCGCAGTGAGAATGCCACCTTTCATACCGTGGTCCAAGGCGGTGACAACGAATACTGGGAACGGTTGTCGGATAACGAGAGTCAGAAGCATATAATGGGCGTCACTAGTCACCCGGGCGGCAACATGAAGGGCATTACTGTAACGACAGATGTCGTTCTACAAGAGAGCACATCCGACGACCCCAGTGTTGCAGCTAGTAAGCCGTAGAAGAACAAGGTTGAGATTATTGTTGTTTCTAGACCAGCATTGGGCATCAACATCATGCATCTATAGATAAGTTTAAGTAATATATTATAAAGGATATACTCCGCTGTATATTAATAGATTAATAATCCAGTGCAGGTCATGAAGCACGTCCATTTCCTTCTATCCCAAGCCACTGCAAGTTGGTTTTCACTCATGTCTCTTGATTTATCTACCCTCTCCCACCTCTTTGCAGTCGCTGCACACCTTCATCAGTCTCCCCAGCGTCTTTATCCTTTACCGGTTTGGATTCCCCAGCGGCCACTTTCCGCCGAAGAAGCCGTGCAAGCAAGTCGTTTATGATCAGGGACGCTGATCAGAATCTGACTGGTCTAGAACGATTGGCTACCACCTTCTCGTGATGTTCTGTGTCAATAACCAGGCAATGCCCTAGTGAGACTAAGAACAGCCAGAGTAGATGGGAAAATAAGCAATTATGGTAGCAGGAAACCTTTGCCATGATTCGATTTTGAGCAAGTGTTCACCATAGGTCTGATGTAGGCGCTCCAAACGTGACTGACCCAGAACTTCCTCTTTCGCGATGGTTGTTGCAATCAGTATATTTTTCTTGAGCGTAGATTTAGATATTAATATGTCTATTTGCCCTAGCCGCACTTCATTCGGGCGATTCGCCTGCCAGTTTCAATGAGACGTCACCTTTTAGTCTAACCTAGCCCACGAGTGCTCAATCCTTGCTATCTACTACACTATTGGTCTTTCAACGTGAACAAACAGTATTTGTGCCGAGACTATGATGTACGGTGATCATGGGGTTTCCCTTTAACCTTTCTTTATGTATGCAAGCTTGGCAATCTCCCTGGCAGCAATATCGCGTCCCTGCTCGCCCGCTCTTAATTTATCACCTAGACTTTTCGACTTTTGTCGTAAAGACATGTCTGTTGCCTCACCACCATCAGCGACTTTGAGAATGGCACCACTAATGCCCTCTGCAGTCCAATTTGGGCTTGTATCTTTGCACGCCCAGATGCCGATACGGACACTCTCCGCGATAGCGGCAAAGTTGTATAAGTCGGCCCACAGAGGTAGGACGACATGAGGCACGCCAGCACTGGCAAAAAAGTCAGGCATATTCATTCATTGTCAGTGGAAGGGGAACGAGACTCACGCAAGCCCCTCGTTGAAGCAATTAGAACCGCCGTGATGCACAAAGGCAGTGATACCACCAGACTCGAGGAGCGACATGATATCCATTGTGAGCCATTTCAACATGCGGAGCCGCCCCGTCTTAATGAATGGTTGCAGCGGCGCCAGCACATCATCAGAGTAGTCGCCGTCCTTGTCAAACTTCCACAGAACCTGTAAATCAGTCTTGGAGAGCACATCGGCGACCGCTCCAGTCATAGCTTGCGCATAGTCTACTGGATACTGGGAACGAATGTTAGCTACTTTCTTTAGCGCAGGACTACAACGTGAACTACCTTGAAGCCACTACCGAGAGCAATCAATACGGTAGGTGAGCGCTGGACCCATTGAGTCAATTCAGGGTCCTGCTCCTGAGCTGGTGCCACTGACAGCAATATGGGCCCAGCGCAGGTGACGTTGGCCGGCACCACGTCAAGGGGAATGGATACGCCATCGGTGGTCATGGTAATCCAAGGGATGTCTGGCCGGTGTAAGTTGAAGAAGTTGATAGGGTCCTTAACACCCCTGTCCCTCAGGACAGCCTTTTTAGCATTCAGCTGCGGTGTCATCATTGCAGCATAGACGAAGCGAAAGTTGAGATAGATGTTTTCTAACATGTTTTTGTACGGCACTGGGAAGCCGAAGCCGGATGTTAAGCTGTTTCTGTCAGCATCTTGCAGTATTTTGCGCTTATTTGCAGATTAACTCACGCAGGATACTTCCAAAACATGCTCCCATACGGCTGATCGCCAATAAAGTTCTCTGCAGTCGTTTGTGGTGTGATGAGAGCATGCATCCAGTTTCTGTCCCTCACGCTGTCAACCGCCGGCCGTACTAATGTATCCAAAATAACCACAGCAGGATCAATCTCATCGATTAGAGCACCAATGCGGTTGTAGATGCTCATGTGCTCCTCTACGCTCCATGGCGAGATCCAAGTCTGCACATCGCTCGAAAACTTTGCAATACCTGCAGACCCAGGCGGTGTAATACTGAGTGGCAGGATGCTGAAATATGCCTTTCCGTCGATTTCATGGTAGGTGATTTCTCTAGCGGCGGGCGTCTTGGCCTGTGCAAACTTGGAAACTCGGGCCAACTTGTTGCCCAGACCTGAGAAGGATGCGTAATGTACCTCAATGTCTGGGTAGTTTTCTAGGAGGGAGGATGCGGTAGCTATGTGGACATTGCTAAGGCCATGCTCGATGTTAGAGATAAAGAGTGCCGTCCTATTTCGTCCCTGGATATACGGTGGACGCTCTTCCGGAGAGCTAGGTAGGTAGAAGGCGACCAACGCGGCGATCAGCGCGCCGGTCAGAAGCAAGATCCGGATGAACATTGCTGACGGATCTTCTTGAACTTTCAATCATCAGTAGTTGAGGTCGAAATTCTCTACTTGAACTCTTGCCCCCTTTTTTATCTCGGCCGTCAAAAATTTGTCTACAAGCGGCAACGGCCGAGCCTGTAATGCACATTCAGTATTGCAGGGTTTATCACCCGAGCGATATAGATACGCGATGATAATATGAAAAAATCAATTGCTTGGCATTGATTCATTTACATACTCCGTTGGTGTCGCCACCAACAGCTTCTAGTATTGCAGGTCAAAGGGATGTTATTGAGGCTGTTGCTTCTAAATACCAGTAATTATAAGACGGAGCCGCGATCCCTTTTAGCCTCGAGAATCCCGTGTTTCTATCATCGTGTCAGCAACCCGACCTCTGACCCTAAGGTCGTTTAGAAATCACGCTAGTACATAAAACGTCTATGATCTTCATATCCCTGGCCTCCCTCCAGACAGATTCATCCCTTGGACTGTGTTAAGACTCGTGGGGGTGAGCTGACTAAGATTTGATAACATAATGTTGCCACGTGATTTGAAGTATGTCTGTCCGGCTAATTTTATCTCCGTCTTCCGGCCAAAATCTGACTCGAGACCCACAACGCCATGAGTCAAATGTTAAGGCAGTCAGGTAGTGTTTCCAAGATCACGACAAGGCTTGATGTCAATCAGTTTAACAGTCAAGAATATCAACAACAAATCATCTGTAAATTTTCCTATGTCAATAAAATTAATTAATTATGGAAAGAATTTCAATTGAACCCGATGAATAGAAATACGTAATTTTTTATGGCTATTTATTTCGTCAAGATTGAGGTTATCGCAACGTGGTCGTAATCATCTTGGGTATAGGGTAGCATAGCGCAAAAGAATGTTATGGGTTCATCTAATTTCCCCTCAGTGTGAATTATTGTGACGCGGTGGAGTACAACGCACGGGATATATCACGTGATAACCTTCCCTTGATTCACTGATTAAAGAGATTATTCAGGGACCCCCATTAGATAATAGGAAATTCAAGTCTTCCATCGATTCCGCTTCAATTAGTGACCAAAGTATGACCAAAGTAAAGCTATGAAGCTTGCTAAAAGAAAAGAAATTTTTAATAAAACGTCAAAATCACCTGGCCAGAAAACACCAGACTTGTCGAGGTCTACTTCGCTTGAACGATGGTTTTGACAATCTCCGCTGCACGGTCCAAAGCAGCCGAGAACCTCTCGGACTCGGCTCGAGGATTGATGAAGCAGACTTCGATCGACTCGTCGTTGACCTGATAATTCGTCCATACTGACTCGGGATCAAACATCATGTAGGCCGGGTCCTCGGACGAGTCCCTCTCCCGCATGGTCTGCATGATATAGCGCGGGTAGCCCCTTTTCCAGATGGCGTCGGAGAAGAGCTCGGGCACGGGCTCGTCCTGCTGCGCCTGGCTCATGATCTCGATCACGTCCATGAGGCGGAAGTAGTTGCGGCCCTCGGACGCCTTGACGATCTGCGCGTTGCAGTCGCGCGCCGCCTGCAGGAGCTTGCGACGCGCCTCGGACCGCGGAACGCTGAGGTCGAGGGCTGCATCGCAGAAGTCGACGACAGACTTGAGGACGACCTGGATGATCTCCGGGCGGCCCAGGTGGAAGTGTGCCATCGAGACCGTTTCCCAACTGGCCGGGAGGTAGCCAAAGTAGATGCGGCTCGCCAGCTGGATGGTAAGGTCGGCTGTGGCTTTGATGGGCGCCGCGTTGGCGAGGAGGTGAGATTTCCCAAAGGTGGTGATCTGATGGGGGACGTATCGCCTCGAGTCCGTGGCGGAGGAGTACTGCTCGCGCAGGTACTTGATGCGCTCCTCAATGTTGGATGTCGTGACGAGCGGGATCTCGACCAAGCTGGCGGGATGGACGGACACACCGTTCTGGCCGTTGGTACTGCCGTTGGCATGCCCGTGGTTCTCGATAGCGCTATACAGCCTCGGAGCCAGCTGCGAGACGGTGATGGCGTCGATCATGGAGTGGTCAAAGATGGTACCTGACTGGCCGTTTTCAGTAACGACAACCTGCATGCTCTTGTCCTGCCAGCGGTTGAAAGGGTTTTGGAGGTAGCCCTGGCTAACACGCTCCTCACGTGTGGCCGGACTGTTGTCGTCGAGGCACATAACGAATGTAGACGTCTCAATCACGCTGAGGTAGTCGGCGTTTCTCTCGTTAAGAGCTAGCAGGCCGTCTCGGTTCTAGTAGCCACGAAGTTAGTAAATACTTTGAGAAAGCGGAATCGGTGCTGTATCAAGACTTACGGTAGCCCATGAGTCACGGTCGTCAGTAGTTAACACGCCCGCCCAAATTGGATCCTCGATGCCCAGGTCGATTATTGCCTGGAAGGTCGCCTTGAGATTGTCATGCGAGAGAATCTGGCCCTGGTCCAGCAACTGGACCTTGAACAGGTGCCCCTTGCGCAAGACAGCGACATGGTTCTCACCAGCGTACTTCATCATCTTGTCACAGGCCAGCTGTGGCTCTCTAGTGGCGTTGAAAAGCCACTTCAAGGTGCTGGCGCAGTTCACCCTCCCTCCCAGGTAGTTGGGTTCCAAGCTCCCTGATTCAACATCTCTCTTGAAGTCCCACAGAGCGGTGGTTAGCACGGCAGCTCGCTCAGCCTGCGAGTGCGGCACCGGGCTGTCAAAGTGCGAGCCCCAAAAGTTGGCAAATGGAGCGAGGGGGTACCGTCTCTTGAGGTAGAGTGCCTTGCTGAGACGCTCGGCAATCCAGCTCTCGACATTGGGATCGTCGGCTTCAGCGCGAAGCTGGTCATAGAGCCTCCGGCCGAGGCTTCCCGGCGCGGCCACGGCGTGGGCTTTGCGGTTGAGCTCTTCGTACTCTTCGCGCGTGTGGGCAAAGTGGCCGATGCTGTGGAGGAGGTCGCCGACGGCCACGTCAAGGTCGATGAGCGGGTGCCGAGGGAGTTCTTTGTGCGTTTTGCAACAGTCGAATCCATGGCTAGGCTTTTCCGCCTCGGTGGCTTGTTGTTCTTCTGTCGCCTCGGCTGTGGTCGATATGACATCTCCCACCTTGTCACTAGTTGGCATATGGTCCGCTGGCCCGGCTGCATCTGGCTTGGCTGTCTCCTCGCGGACGGCTGGTTTCTCCTCTGTCTTTTCTCCTGAAAGTTGAGAACCCTCTGGGCGCCGAACAGCGTCGGGGATTAGCTTCGATCTCGAGACAACCGTTGCGGTCAGCTCCAGGATACTCCCTGCCCCGCTCAGCTCAGACGCCTGCAAGCTGACCTGGAACGTGCGAACCATCCAGTTCTTCAGTTCAATGCTCACAAGGGAGTCTAAGCCGATGGTGGCCAGCGGCTGGTCCACCCTGATATCCTCGGGAGCCTGGTCAAGGAAGACGGCAAACTTGGCCAGCGCGGCGTCTAGGACGAGCTTCTCGGCCTCCTCGACCGATTTCACAGCCCCGAGCGCCTTGTCAAGCGAGATGCCCCCGCCGCCCTGCGTGCCGCCGTTGCCCTTGTCGCCGCGGGCGCGGTCGAGCTGGCTGAAGATTGGGTTTTCGAGGAGGTGCACGTCGTTGACTTCGATCATGGCCTGGCGGGTAATGCCCTGGATGGTTTGGTGAAGGCCGCTGGCGCGCGCCTGGTCAGTCATGGCGTACTCGATGTTGGCGTAGAACTCCTCAAAGGTCAGCTCGATGCCGCTGTTTTGTTTGAGGCTGGTCACAAGAGACACCTTGCCCGCACCCCCGTCGGACAAGTCGCCCTCAACGGCGGTGCTCTCGTGGACGTCGACCTCGACGATGCCGATGTTGACTGAAACATAGTGTGTGTGAGGGTGGTTCGCATGCGCTGCAGCGAAGGCGTCTTGGAAGGCGTTGCCAGCGACGTAGTTGGCCTGGCCGGTCCTACCAATAATCGCGGTCAAGCTGGATAAAGTCATGAAGAAGAATAGGTCGGGCGAGGCAAAGAACTTGTCGAGTTTCAGGGTTCCATATACCTTGGCCTGAAGCGACACGTTCCACTCTTCCATTGTCATTTGGGAGAAGGTCCGGTCCTAATAAGAGTTGTCAGCGGGCATGACGATGGAGGGAGGATCAAAGGGGAATATGAGATGTGGATGCAAATATGCGTCCAAAGCATTAAGAAACTTACTCGGAGTACCATGGCACCGTTCACCACACCCCTGACCGGAGGAAGAGAAGAAGAGCAGTAGGAGGCAGCTCTGCTCATACTCTCGTCATCAGTAATGTCGCACTGGATAATGTGCAACTTGGCTCCATGCTCCTCCACGGCGCTCGTATGCTTCTGCCTCGTCGCGTCATCGATGTCACGGCGGCATAGCGATACAATATGGCCGGCACCCCTCGAGGCGAGCAGCACACAAAGACGGGCGGGAAGGTGGCCAAGACCTCCGGCTATAACGTACGTGCCGTCCTTGCGTAGTTGTAGGGGCAGAGGCTTAGCTGGAACTCCCTTGACTAGGGATTCGGGCTCGACGGTCAGGACAACCTTTCCTGCATGCGTGCCGGGCGACACGAAGCGGAAAGCTTCCTCAATCTTATCGATGGTGTAGGTAGTGATGGGCTGAAGAGGTCTAAGAGTCTTTGCCTCGAAGAGCTCGACAATGCTACTCAGTACGCCATGGACCAGCTTGGGCTGCCTGGAGGCGAGGGTGAAAAAGTCAAAAGTAACGAACGTAATGGGCCTACCAAGAGCAGCAACGCTTAGGCGGGATGAGGAGACGGATTGCTGCTGAGTTCCTGCGGAACCAAGGAGGTTAATAAAGGCCCCCAGAGGCTTGACACAGTCGAGGGTCTCTCTGATAGCTTCGCTCACTAACGAAGAGCTTAGAACAACATCTACTCCTTCACCACCAGTGAGTCGTAGAATGCCACGCTTGAGGGATCGACTGTTCTGATGAGAAAATATATGGCTCTCCGGGATACCATACTGATCCTTGAGCAGCCGAAACTGCACTGCGCTGCCGGAGGTACAGAATACAGTTGCGCCTACGTGCTGAGCAAGCTGGATGGCGGCCTGGTCAATGTCTCCCGAGGCGGTGCTCACAAGAACCGACTGGCTCTCTTGGAGACGAGCGAGGTGTATGATGGCGTAATAGGCCGTAGTGTAGACCAAGGGGATAGACGCTGCCACCTCGGTCGACATCCAGCTCGGTATTCTGTAGGCATGCAGTCCATGTGCTCGTGCCGAGTTGGCATAAGGTAAGGAAGCAAAACCCATGACCCGATCACCCACTTGATGCAGACGCTGAGCGCTCTGAGTCACGGCCGTCACAGTCCCGGCAAACTCACCAGCCAGGGTCGTGAAAGGGCTCGTTTGACGCAGAGCGATGCTGACGTTCTGGCTGTTGACGCCGTGTGCTTCGGTCTTGACAACGATATGGCATGTCTCGGAACCAAAAGGTGTCGACTCCTCATCAACGGCAGCATCGACAAAGCGCAAAGAATTTAACAGGCCCGGCGTCGCAGCCTCAACCTTAAGTGATCGGTCAATCTGGTAAGGAATTGACTCGGTCTCGGTGCCCACATCACCAGGCGAAAGGGTTCGCCGAGCCCAGCTGAGGAACTCATCGTCAACCCTGATACGGGGGATCAGCACCCGGCCGTTCTGGTAGGCGATCTCGGTTTCCGTAGATGGCTGTTCATGGGTGGCCGGCCAGAAACGCCTGCGAGCCACTTCGGCAATGACACCAGCAATCTCCTCAGCAGCGGGAGCTGGGTGGCGGAGGTCGAGGCTGATGATGTTGGCGCTATTCCCACTTTCTCGACGGAGCGTACGAAGAAGCCCATTCGCCAGGCCCTGATAGGCCGCAGAGGCTGGGTCTGGGGTGTCTTGCACAACGGCCCAGATGAGTTTGGCTCTGGGAGTGAGGAGAGAGTTGAGCGACTTAAATAGCCCAGGCCCTGGGTTCAGCAAGAGCGGTTTCTCGGCGTGGTCAATGATAATGTACAGGCTGTCTTCTTGCACAGTGACGCTGTCCCATTGAGCCACCGTAGCGTCCACGGCATGTGAGGCAAGCCCGGCCACGATGCTGTCCGTTCGGCCGATGTCCAGTGCGTGGCTTAGGACGATGGCGTTGTGCCTGGTGGGAGTTCCGTCACTCTCTTCCCTCGGCTGGGCTTTGGCAATCATCATATCGCCCCATCCAAGATGGACCCCGCCGAACCCGTTGTCGGAAAGGACTCTGTTCCATTGCTCGTAGCTCAGCAGCGGAGTGTCAACTCGAAAGTCCTGGTGTGCCCACCATCCCGTGAGCGATCCGGCCAGAAGACCGACGGCAGGACCGGGACTCGGCTTGTTCTCGACGAGGATCAAGCTGCCGCCGGGCTTCAGCAGCTTGCGAACGCGACTGATAGTCCGGTCAATGTCCGTGGTGGCGTGCAAGCAATTGGCGGCTAGGACGACGTCGTATGATTCGGCCTCAAAGTTTTGCTTAAGGGGGTCCGCGTCCGCATCGAGCGTCTTGAATGTAACAACGTCCTCCCACTGCGCAAAGTTCTCGCGAGCCTCCTGGAAGAACTGGTTCGACACGTCGGTGTAGGTATACTCCTTGAGTGGGAGGCGCACGGCGCCGTTCTGCCCATCGAGGCCACGGAAAACGGACTTGGTGAAGCCTCCCGTGCCCGCGCCAATCTCGAGAAACCGGAGCCCGGGGTTCTTGAAGGTGACGAGCTTCAGATAGGCCACAGCAGCGGCGTACTCGCCGGTGTATTTGCGGCCTTCATAGTTCTTGGCTAGGAGGTCGTCCTGGAAGAGGACCTCGAGAGGCTCGACAGCGCCGCTCAGCATCTGTGGGAGGGCTTTGCCAACGCGGTAGGAAACCTTGGGCCCGGCCCCCGTGGTGGCCTCGACCTTTTGAAGAATGCTGGCTTCTTTCTCGGCATCTAAACCGGCCATGATCTCGCCGTAGTAGTCGGAGGCTAGCCACCAGTTCTTCATCCAGCCGAAAAAGTCAAGTAGCTGAGGCGGCACCTCTACCTTGTCATCCTCAATGTGACGGACGGCGTCTCTGATCAAGATTGAGGCAGCCTGGTCGACCTCGAGTTGCTCCTGGACTTCTTCCTCGATTGACACTCGATCACCGGAATAGTTAAATCTCGTGTTCTCGTCGATATCAAGTGTTGCCGACAGCACATGGCCGAAAGAGCTCGTCGTTAGATAGTCGGCATCAAAGTTCCAACCAAGACGGTGCACAGTGTCTTGAGCAAAAGGCCTGTTCTCGTCCTCCTGAGCCTCGCTGATGGCCTTCATATTTAGTAACAATCGAATGACCGGCTTGAGCTGACCGTCGGCCCCCTTTTGGAAGACCCAGCCGCCCCCCGTAGATCCCTGCGTGCCGTCGTTCTCCAGTTCCATCGCTCCTACGAGAGTGTCACCCGGCTTAGTTGAGATACCCGCGTTAACCTCGAGCAGGGGTATCTGTGTGGGCACGCATGTAGCGTTGAAGATGGAGTTCTTGAACAGGAGACAGTTGATTTGCAGTGAAGCGTCGAGAGTGGTTGGATGAATGACATGGGGCCTGAAGGAGCGGTACGGCATCAGGGGAGCAATGTCAGGGACCGACATCTCGAAGATGCCATGCCCCTCGCTATTGTGCTTGATAGAGTTGAGCAAGGTGAAGGCACCGCCAAACTGATTGCCGCTCGCCCCGACAAACTTGTAAAACTCAGACTGGGTCATTTCTGTGTCGACACGACCTCGGGCTGCTTCGAGGAACTGAACGGCCTCCTCGCGACGTAGATCATCTTCTCTCGCACCCGGCACTTCGTCTCGTTCAACAACATCCTTCTCCTGCTCGACCATAATCTCGCCAGTGCAGTGTTCGACCAATAAGCCATCCGGCTGATATGAACGGATAGAGAAGGATTGCCAGGGACTGTTCTCCTCCTTGTTGACGGCGAGCATTGTCAGCTGCACTTCAATCTCTCCAGGGCTGCTGCCGTCAGGGGCACTGAGGACGAGGGCCTTGGACACGTTGACATCACGGATGATGTACTTGGTAATAGGCTTCTGAGAGCCCCTCATCTGCAGGAGCTGCGTAATGCCCTCAATGGCCATGGTCAGATAGCCAGCGCCGGGGTAGATGACGAAATCCTCGATGACATGGTCGCGAATCCAGGGGAAGTCGTCCAAGTTGAGAAAATACCTCCAGCGCGGCTCGTCGACGGTGCTGGCCGGGTCGAGGAGACCGAGGAGATCGTGATGCGGGAAGGGGCGGAACCGATGGGCTTTACTGAGTCGAGACTCGTTCCAATACGGCGCCAGATCCCAAGGGTATGCCTTCAAATCTCTGATGAGGGAGGGTTTCGCCTCGCCGCCCCTGGTAAGGACCGCCTTGATGTCCACCTCCTCCAAGCCAAGCTCAAACAGCTTGCCCACGAATGTCAAGACTGACTGCAAGGCATTGGTATTACGGACCAGAGGAGAGAGGTACTCGACCTTTGGCTTGTCTGTAAGGGTCTGGCGCGCTGGGCCTGCCAGGGCTGAGTGTGGCCCAATTTCTATGAAGATGGTAGCCTCGGCGTTGGAGTCGTCCTCGGACTGGCTGTCACGGAGTAGGCTGAGTGCCTGACTGAATTTTACTTGCGAGACCAGGTTCCGCGTCCAGTACTCAGCATCGAAACCGTCTGTCTTAACCGTGCCGGTGACACTCGAGTAAAAGGTGACACCATTCCTAACTGGACGCGACTCAATACTGCTGATGGCCGCCTTGTAGTCCTCGGCGACACGCTGCATATGATGCGAGTGGTAGGCCGTGTCGACCTTGAGTTTCCGGGCAAAAACCCCTTCCTTATCAAGCAACGACTTGAGCTCGTCAATGGCCTCTTCATCGCCCGAGATAGTCTGGCTGCTCGGGCTGTTGACACATGCCACGACCGCTTTACCACTGGTGAGCTTCTCGATATGCTGTCTTGCTTCTGTCTCTGAAAGACTGACAGCCATCATAGTCCCTGGAACATCTGCCAGCTTCTTCGCTTTGCGGGATGACAGACCGCGATGGTAGGCTGCAAGAATAGCGTTCTCGCGAGTCAAGGCGCCCGCGGCATAGGCAGCTCCGATTTCACCAGAACTGTGACCGACGACTCGCGCGGGCCTGATCGAAAAGCTTTCTAGGAGGTCTGTGAGGGCAATTTGGATGGCCGTTGTGCAGGGCTGAGCAATCTCGGCTTCGCCGACCCGCGACTCCTTGGCCGACTTCGACAACTCTTCGGCGAGACTCCACTGGCAACCTTGACCACGCAGCACGTCGTCCATGGCCGCCATGCTCGAGTGGAACACAGACGAAGCGCCGAATAGCTCTAGACCCATTGCGTGCCACTGTGCCCCCTGGCCAGAGAAGACAAACGTCAACGGCGCCAGCGACACAGTCCTTTTTGGGGAGCCTTTCTGCTCGAGCTCCGCCACGAGATCCTCAGCGGTCGAGGTCACAATAGCTCTCCTGTATGAGAAGGCGGATCTGTGAGCACCGAGGGTGTAGGACAGGCTTTTCAAAGTCTTCGGGGTGAAGCTGTGTTGGGACTTGATCCAGTCAACGATGTCTTGGGCGCGTGATGACAGGGCTTTCTCGGTCGATGCGCTCACAAGAATGAGCTCTGGAGAGAAGGGTTCTGCATCCTTTTTGCCGTTGGCCGGGAAGCCATTGGTTCCGTTGGTCTCGACACCATTGTGGCTATTCGTGGCGCCGTTGTGTCCATTTGTCGTGGTTCCATTGGTTCCATTGGTGCCGTTCGTCTTGACTCCGTTGGTGCCGTTGACACCGTCCTTTTTCTTCTCTGGATAAGGGTCCTCGAGAATAACGTGGCAGTTTGTACCTCCGTAGCCAAACGAGTTGAGAGACACTCTGGTCGGTTCCCCGTTGCGAGGCTTGGGAAGAGGCGTAAGGTGCAATGGGATCTAACCAGGATTATAAGCTCGGAACTCGTTCACTTCAAGAAGACATTGACTCGAAACATACCTTGACCTTTTTCTCGTAGAGATTTAGTGACGATTTTGGCTTGTCAAAGTTGAGATTGGGAGGGATCTGCCCATGCTTGAGCACGAGAAGGGCTTTGAGCAGGCCGGCCAGGCCCGAGGTGGCCTCGAGATGGCCGAGGTTAGTCTTGACGGAGCCGACGTAGACATCATCTGGCCTAGAAGGGTCTGTGAAAACTCTAGAGATGCACCCCATCTCTTCTTTATCTCCCACCTGTGTTCCCTGCCCGACATAGTCAGCCCTGATGTACGATGAGAGTAGGTGGTGACATTGAGACTTACTGTTCCGTGGGCCTCGACGAATGAGGTATCCAGAGGGTTTAATCCAGCTTCACGGTAGACACGCCATGTCAAGTCAGCTTGCGCATCACCGTTTGGAGTATTGAGGCCGATTGTTTTGCCATCTTGGTTTACACCACTGTTGGCAATGATGGCATGCACCTGATCACTGTTTTTTCATTAGCTTCTTCTTAATTAGTTTACGAACCGACCACCGCCGTTAGAAGCTTGAAGAGACGTACCCATCTTGGAGTGCGCGATCTAATCGCTTGAGTACAATCGTTGCTACGCCTTCAGCGCGCCCGTATCCTTCTCCTCGCGAGTCAAAGGCATATGACTTGCCGTCCGGGTTGAGCATGCCCACAGTGCTCACTAAGATGAGTCGTCAGCAGGCCATGGCCAAAAAAAGGGGCATTAGAAAATTCATCCTCGAAGGAGGTTGACACTCACTAATTGAGAGCAAGTCAGGTGTGATGAGAAGCTGCGATCCGCCAACCAGGGCAAGATCTGTCTCTCCTAGCTTTAGACTTTGGCATGCCTGGTGGAGAGCGACCAGACTCCCAGACTGTAGAATGTAGTTTAGCATGACAGACGTCTCCTGTTTGTGTTAAATGGGGTTCTTACGCAACCAGTATCTAAAGTCAAACTGGGGCCTTTCAAATCAAACACATATGAAATTCTATTCGAGAGAACTGTGGTTAAAGGTTAGTGATTTCCTTTCATGAGCAGCAGTTGCCTCAATAGGTCCTACCAAGGGAGTGCAATCTTTCTATCTTTCCATCTATCTATCTATCTATCTCTCTTTGTGTGTGTTTGTCAATCGAGGAATAAGGAGAATGAGGGAACTTACTGGCTTCTCCCACTCCGTTCATGTGTGTTCTACTGATGGTTGACAGGTCTTTGAACCCCATGCGGTCGTAACTCCTCTCAAAGATGGCTGCAAAGACGCCCGTGTTGGACCCGCGCAGCGTCTCGACTGGGATGGCCGCGTCCTCGAGCGCCTCGTAAGTCGTCATCAGGAAGAGGCGCTGCTGCGGATCCATGCTGCTCGCCTCAGAGCTCGGAATGCCAAAGAACTTGGCGTCAAAGTGGGAGATGTCGTCCTGGATGAAGTAGCCGTGCCGTGCACGAAGCGAAGATCTAGCCTCAGGATACGCGTCGTACCATTCATCAGCGTTCCAGCGGTCTTTGGGTACTTTCACGTGGCCGCTGCGGCCCTCGGAGAGGAGGGACCATAGGTTGGTCAGGTTGTTGGCTCCGCCAGGGAGTCTACAGCCGACGCCGACGATGGCGATTGGAGTTTGGGAGGGAGACATGATGAGGCGAGGCAGGAGGAGAATGGCGAGGAGAGTACAGGGAAGTGTGGGAGTGGTGTTTACAATCGAATGTGAAGACGTTGAAACTTCGAGACTTGTTAAAGGAGCAGAGCTGGCTATATTCTAGGGATGATACGACATATCTCTGAGTCAATATACATACATATCTTCTGTTACATGTCACCATTCACTATATCACGAACTCAACCACTTGACTAACTAAATCTATAATGTCTTTGGCCTCTGATAAACAAGGGTCCAAGAGAGGTATTTTTTGTCCACAACCCGAGACAAGGGTCTGTCTGAGAGGGGTAGTTTTGTCCAGAACCCGAACTGGTTCACAGCATCACACGATAGACACATATGCCGTATCTAAAACGCATAGCAAGGGTCGCTGCAGAATCCTTCGACAAAGAGAAGCGCTCACGCCGGCGGATATCGTCTTCTTCCTTTCAGTTTTGTCCGTCCACACATCTACATATCCCATACACCATTAGGTTCTGAACCCCCCCTACATATCAGTGCTGCGCCGCTGACGAGCAGGTCACCCTTGCTTGCCGCGTTCCCTTCCTAACTCACCTGCAAACTGCAAGGGTGGAAAAACCACCGGACCAGGTAGAAAAAACCCACCGGAGGTCAGGGTTTTATTCCATGTCCTTAACCCGCCGAACCAGGTGTCAGGGCCCCCGGCCATCTAGGTTCACCTCTCCATCAAGGGTTGCCATCTACTTGCTTCTCGAGCTTCTCTTTTCCCGAAGTTCCGGAGCTCGGGAGGCCGAGTTGCGAGTTTGTGAGAAGGAGTGCCAGAAGTTGATCAGACAGTTCTAAAGAATGGGAAGCTCGCGGGCTTAGAGCTAGTATGAGGTATCTCTCAAGGCGAGATTAAGGGAGTAGTGATAGTCCCGCTACGTCCCTCCCGAGGTATAAGTAGCCTTCGTTTTCTCAAGTTCGCAACCAGTAGCTAGTCAAGGGCTTATCAGACACAACGTGACTCCCAACTCTCACTCAACACATCAAACTACATTTTACGGCTTTTGACTTAGCAGACGAGATGGCCTTAGCTCTAGGAGCACTCTGGTGAGCCCTATCCCACTGCCCCCATTGTATATAGATCATCAAATAACCCACAAGACGGAACAGGGCGTGGAGTCTCTACGACAAAGCTCTTATATCCCACTACGCGAAGAAGTATAAACCCTCACCTTTGCCGGAAAAGGCAACTTATAGCAATAAGGACATAAGTATCATTGTACCGACTATTGATACGGAATCGACCTTTACCGAGTGCATGCGCCTCTGGCTTCGGTCGAAGCCCCGTGAAGTTATCATCGTCACTGTCGAACGAAATATAGAAAACATAAACAAGCTGATCGAGCCGCTCAAAGACGATGCACAAAGAATTTCAGTCCTATGCTCGCCTGTAGCGAACAAGCGTATCCAACTGGTGGTAGGTGTTGAAGCTGCCAAAGGCGACATATTAGCGCTGGTAGATGACGATGTCTTCTGGCGAGCTGATGGTGTCGTGCCATATCTCTTGGCCCCCTTTGAGCAAGACGAGATTGGCGCCGTGGCAGGCATACAGAGGTCAGCCAACATCCTCCACCCTCTCGAGATTGACCGGGAAATATAGACTGATATCATTGTTACAGTGCTGAAATTCCTCCTGAACGTCGAGACCCGAGCGTCATCACCCCATGGGAGGCAACATCAGCCTTCGACCTCTGCCAGTGGAAAGGCTCCCGGGAAGTACACTTCGCGGCTGACGGCGGCTGCTGGTGCTTGTCGGCGCGGACGCTTTTCATTCGCACAAGTATCCTCCAGGACCCCAGCTTTGCAAATTCATACACGCACGAGGCCATCGGCCGCAGGGTCGTCAACACGGCTGATGATGTCGTTCTAACGGGCTGGGTGTTTGATCGTGGGTATGTCTCATCCGTGCCAAAGCACTCAAGGCGCTCCATCGAAGCCCTTAAAGAGCCGGGCTAAACATTTCTAGCTGGAAGGTTTCCATCCAGAATGTGCCCGAGGCCGAAGTCACGACCAACATCCCGCAGAACCACAGGTTTGTGTGGCAGATCTTACGCTGGGACCGAGGAAACTTTCGTACTTTCTTAGGATACATTTTCGTGTACCCCGGCTGTTGGAAGATGATGCAGTGAGGAAACATTCCTCTTCTTCACGGACGTCACTCTCTAGAGGATAGCCTCTACTAACACCAGTGACCGTAGGAGGCACCCATATACAACATGGAAGATGATTGAACGTCTCCTTAGACCGATTTGGGCTCTCGCGTATCTCTGGGCGTGGATTCAAACGTTCCTTACCGTTCCATTGATTGCGTGAGTACTTCCCCTTCTCTCACCTTTGCTCCATAGACCTTGCTATCTACTAGAGTCTTGACTAACCTTTGCAACAGGTACGCCTTTCTAGCCTGGCTGGCTTTTGGATGGGACGGCTATGTTCCCAGGTACAAATCATTCCTTGCAAAATACCCGTACTGCGTGCGTCAAGTGTGGGCGTTTCTTTTTATGGATGTCATAGGTCCTATGGTAGATTTATATGTCTATCTCACGATGAATAACGACAATTGGCTAACGAGGGCGGCGGATGTCAAAGTGCTGGAAACTTGAGTGGGTATAGGTAGATAGCATCCATATGTTCCTGGTGCTACCTAGACTTGCTGCGAACTGTGGGATTGATGGAAAAGGCTGTATTGCATAGATAACTTTAGAAGTCTCTTCAACCTACCTCTAGTTATCTCGGCCTATTTTGCTCCAACCTCATTTTTAATAGGGTGAGCCCCTTACGAATTGAGTAGTAGTACGGCTATACATAAATCGCGTGTCCGAGTGGTTAGGTTCACAGCAATATCTTATCAAAACATAAGGCAGTTAAGTTAGGTTCCTGCAAATTAACTATCGCTATAGATAACTACTGGGCCTACCTTGTAGCTATCGCTTCTTATAACACTAGATAGTGTAAAAAGGTGAGCGTGTCTAATTTGGTAGAAAGGGTGGCTCCCCCTTTTGATGATATAGCCTTGACATTAGTAAGAGATAGCAAGACTTCTTATGTTAGCGGATAAGTAGACATATCTGATTTCTAACACTATTATCAAGAAGTGGTAGCCTCCTCCTTGCTGGTCGGTTTTTCTTCCAGAGAACTTTGCTCCTCATGAGCGTCCATCGGCGCGGCGTCGGAGTCCGGGAGTTGACGCCACTCCATCATCCAGCTGAAGACCCAAGCAGCGGCCGGCGTGGCAAGGCCTACCCAGAACACATTCTTCAAAGCCGAGTTGTACGCGTCTAGAACCACATCCATCAACTCTGGTGGGACAATTTCGGTGAACCCCTTCCCACCAGCCGCCACTACCGCCGCCGCGTCGACTCCCGGCAACCCGTTCAAGGTCCGGAGCAGCTTGTCGGTCAGGAGGTTCTGCCCGACAGCGGGTGCCAGGGCGCCGCCCAGCATCTGGAAGAACATGACCACCACGAGGCCCGTGGGGATGTCGGCCTTGGCCAGGACGACCTGGACCGCCAGGATGGGCATCTGGCTGCACATGCCGTAGCTGGCGCCCGAGATGATCTGGTAACCGATCCACGGACCGGCAGCACTATCGATGCGCATGAGCTGGTACAAGCCGCCGCCGACGGCGAGGAGTGGAGCTCCTATCCACATCAATGGTACATAATGCCGGGTCTTCGAGGCAGTCCAGCCGCCGGCCAGCATGCCAAGACTGTTGGAGATGACGAGCGGAAGGAGCTTGACCCCAGAGTCTCTGGCGCTATCGCCCCGGACCGACTGAAAGTATATCGGCCAAAAGTACGACTGTAAAACAATGGCTGTTTGAACCAACGACATGAAGGCGAAGGATGCATATGCCGTGCGGTTGTGGAAAAGGTGAAGAGGGATCGTCGCACTGCAGAGAATAAGAAGTCAGGTCCGCACAACTCATGTCGAAATCTGTTGTCACGCAAAGAGGGGGACGAACTTTTCCTTTCCAAAGTACTGCATCCCCAAAAAGGCAAGCAAAATTAAGGCAAGCCCGATGAGACAACCAAAGACTCGTGAATCTGACCATGGGTAAACGATGCCGCCCCACTGAAGAGCCAAATTCAAGCAGACAGTGGCGCCCAGGAGCAGAATAGCTCCAGGGATGTCAAGGTGACGCATCTTCTGAGTCCATGGAAGGGCACCCTTGACGGCAGGGGGCGGTTTGCCAAGCGTGAACCATACAAGGGCCAAGCCCACCGCCCCGAAAGCTAACGAACGGTTAATTTGATGAGTTAATGGCAGGGGGGATTGCTCCATCTGGGGAGGGAAGACGCCTTACGGAGGTTGATCCAGAAGACAAATCGCCAAGTGAGCTTCTTGTTATCCGTGATAGCACCGCCTACGAGCGGTCCCACTGTCGATCCAATATTGTACATGCCTAGAACTACTGGTGAGAGCTTTGCCTGCATCTTCAACGCCACCGAGTACGCCAGGATCGTTGTCGTCCCGCTCACCAGACCCGCGGCTCCAATGCCCGTAATAGCTCTCCCGACTATGAGTACAATCGAGTTTGGCGCGACGGCCGAGATAATGGAGCCGAGCTCGAAGACGACGAGCGAGAGGCAGTACACCCACTTGATGTTGTAGCATGCGTAGATGCGCCCACACGTTGGCAGTAACGCCATCTGGGCGATAAGGTAGGATGAGCCGTACCATCCTATGTCATTGAGGCTATTAAAGTCGCTGGTAATTTGTGGTATCGCCGTCGCTAGATGCAGCATTCTGTTAGCATGATGCCGCCACTGTGTTTCTTGCCACCGCCTGACAGGGGTCTGACAAACCTAGGATTGTATTGTCAAGTGCTAAGACGAAGCAAATGGACATAAAGGCCACGGTCAAGGAAGCGAGAGCCCATCCTGTCAGTGTTGCGGACTTCGCCACATCTTGCGTTTCGTCAGGCGACTCATCTGGCGACTCAACCCGTCGACTGTCGACTTCGTTCGCAATTGCTTCGACGGTTTGTGAGACCTCTGTCTCTGCTTTCGTCATGTTTGCTTCCACCAATAGAAGTGACTGTCTGAAACTAAATTCAAGAAAGGGAGCGTTACTAGACCAGAACCATGGTAAAGAAATCAAATCCCAATGGAATAAGGGGTGAAACAAGCCGGAACAGTAGAGATAATATCGTTGCAACGGAGGAAGAAGAAAATCAACGGGGTTGGAGATTAGGAATCACCTGAAATTCCGCCTGTGCTGACCGACCAGGCTTACAATGCGTGATCGCCATGGCCAACAAGCCCAATACGACCCTCTGACCAGCCCGTGGGGGTCCGTCTCTTATCTTGAAGTTGTTGACTCTTTTCCCACACGGCCCGGGGACCCGGAGCAAGGATTGCTGCCTGTCGTTTCAGCCTAAAAGGAGGCACCCGGCGGGTTATTTTTCGCGACCCTGCAAGATTCCGGTGGATTTCATGGGGTACTGGTGAATCGAACCCCCCATGACAGCGTGGGAAAGGGTAAGAGCGGGTCGGATGAACGGCCCAGAGTCCCAGATACGACTACGAACTAGGGGGTCTGAAAGGCGAGAAGCTGGGCGCTTGACAAACCTGGAAATGACCGGTGTCGGTGTCAAAAGCACGTGCTCATACACCGTCAGATAACCCATTATGCCATCTACGGGTCTCGGTGAGATGTTGTACCTTGTATATCAAATGAACGGAGTCCTCTTAGGACATGAGGCGGTCCGGGGGGCTTACTGGCGAACCATCCTGCTAGGTCTTAGTTTCCTACTTCGTATATCTAATAGATTTAAATTATCTATCAGAGCATGGCTGGAGACGCCAAGTATTATCAAACTCTTGACAGGCCGGAGTTCTTGTAGCCAAAAAGTGAAGTGACGGGCGAAGCATGCAGAACGGCTGCATATTTCGTGCTTTCAGTTATATCAATGTAACATTAAATGCAGAAAGGGTTGTGGAAGCGTATTAATACAGATGTACATCCAATCTGAAGGGAAGCATGCACCAGCACGGGGTGAGTTATCCCCCACGCAACGTTGACGTTGCATTCACCCATTTGATGATATTGTTACCCTCACCATCACCTTTCTCGACACGCAGCGTTGCTCTCTTTCGACTCCCAAAACATACACCGTTGACTTGTGACAAATACGCTAGCAAAATTATGAAGGGCAAGCGAGCGGCGTGTGACCGATGTCACACAATGAAGATGCAGTGCAAAACGGACAGCTCGGGCAAGATTTGCAGACGCTGTCAGAATGCAGGCGTTGATTGCCGTTACAGTGAGCCTGGTAGACCTGGGAGACCAACCAACAAACCCAACAATGTGACCAAACAAGACAGTGTGGCTGCCGCCATGGTTCCTGCTGCTGAGGCTGACATCAAGCTGACTGGGGCCTTTATGGGAACTATACCGACACCCAGCCCTCCAAGCGTTGATGAACAACTCCAGCAAAGACGACGAAGACGACAACAACAACAACAACAACAACAACAACAACAACAACAACAACACACCTGGATCCAAAACGCTAGGAGTCCATATAGCCCCACTGATGAGGCTATATACCTTGCCAGTGAGCATAACAGTGACTCCTCCCCGCAAGAAGGACTGCCAAGTTCCTTCCCAGCAAGCCCCTACCAGCACCCGAATGTGGTCGAAGGGGATTGGCTGTGGGATATTTCCCAGGCCGAACTGTGCCCCCAAAGCCTTGCGCTTGGAGACATTCGAAACGACCAGAGCGGTGTCTCAGGGTTGGCGGGACTGGCCATGGACCAGTCTCCAACTCCTTTGACCCTTGATCTAGAAGAAGCGCTACTAGTCGATGGAAATTGCCTGGGGCACATCGCTCACTTCCAACTTAAGATTGCTCGCAAGATGAACTCTATGTCTCACCTCAGCCCTGCTCACCTAGAGCATGAGGCTGCCCATGTTCTGCAATGCTCCGCCGAGTTTCTTAAGCTCATCACATCACTCATTAATGCGGAGAACGAGTGGAAAGGGCCCCAGCAGTCGTCACCGATCAACACGGCTGTCTTTTTGCAGCTCACGTCCATTACCATCCGGTTGACCGAGATGCACTACTGGCTCTACTCTTCCATTTACTGCCATCTGTGTGCAACTACTCCCCCAGTCGCTGTTAGAAATGAAGGCGACAAGATTTTGACCAAGCTTTTGTCATTTTCCGTTGCCGGCGTTGATCTAACTCCATCGTGCCCTCAATTTCGGCTACAGATGCTTCTACACACCGGAGTGCACTATCTTGACCGCATACAAAAGTCTCGTGAAAACCTAAAGAGCTTTACCTTAGATGGAGCATCTGAACACTTGCCTCGTCTGGCTCTTCAGATGCACATGTTAATCACAGAAGATCAGAGAAGTAATATAGAGAATATTTATACAGTCTTAAACAAGCTGAAGCAGAGGTTTGGTGTGGATATAATATTATGAACCATACTAAAAAATAAATATTAAAGAATAAAGAATAAAGAATACAGAAGAGCAGCTTTTACTAGAAAAATATTTATACTCTTCCCTGATTTAATATACAAACACTGCATTTAATGTATATATAACTTCTATGAGTAAGTAAGTGATTTACCCTAAAAATTTTAAAGAATATAAATGTTATTTACTAAAATATTTGATATAATATTAATATTAATAAATAAATTATAGTAAATTTACGTAGTCGAGTTAAAATAAGACTATATCAAGGATTATGTTTTTATCCCATATGGTAGCCTAGTTATATCGACTTGCTGTCTAGGGTAGGATCGTCGTGACTCGTATATAAAAGGAAGGTATGATTTCTTTCACTAGCCACTCGATAAATACTCGCTCCTTGCAGCTACAAGCTTGCAAAATTCACCTAATGAAGCGCCCTGGACAATTTCAAAGACTGAAACCTTTGCTTTGGCCGCACTACTGAGCCAATTCCGCAACTCTACCGCAACCAACGAGTCAACGCCGTACCGGGACAAGGGCAGTGAGATATCAATCTCGTCGAGCGGAATGCTAAACAGCTCAGACAACTTAGTTGACACGGCATTTACAAGCAATGACAACGCCTCTTGGGCAGTAATGCTGCTAGAAGAAAGTGCACTGGCTAGCACGGCGGTTGAGCTTTTGCTGCCCCGAGACCCAGTGTCAGTGGACTGCAAACCACGGCGACGGTTCGCAAGCCGTAAGCTGCTGAACCGCCGATCACGAGTTAGGTTCAAGTTCTCAACCATGGCATCCATTGTATTATCAGTGACGCCCATGACCACCTGGCTGTTCTCCTGACTACTAGAGCGGATGGGGTTACGGATAACATCCTCAAGAAGCTGGAGGACGACCGAGACGTCGACTTCGCCGACTCCTAGCTTGTTGGCGCGGTTTATGACACCCTCGTCACCTTCCTCTAGCCGATTTTCGATATAGCCGACTTTTCGAATAGCACAGAGGTCGATAGTCACACCAGGCAGGCCACGGGCACTCCGGTTGCGGGAAATGGCGTCCTGGTACGAGTTACCGGCGGCGTAGTTGGCCTGTGAAGTGCCTCCAGCTACCCCGACAACGGACGAGAGCAAGATAAAGAAGGCTAGACCTTGAGGTAGGTGCTTGTCCAAGTTCCTAGTGCTGTTGATCTTAGGGCGAACCGCGTGGCCCCATTGCTCGTAGGTCATACGCTCGAATATAGTGTCCTAAATTATAGTGTTAGCGAGACGAACATATTTCAACGGAGAAGATATTCACTGACATCCAACACCATGGCACCATTTACAACCCCACGAATAGGGGGCAGTGTGCGAGAGCACTCGGCAAGAAGCTCCACGAGCCGATCTTCATAGGATATATCGCAGTCTCGAAGTTGAACATTGCATCCGGCAGCTTCACCTCGCTTTTGAAGGAGGTGGGCGTTGGGATGGGTAGTAGCGTGACGAGAGACGAGCAATAGAGTCTTCGCTCCTCTGGATATCATCCATTCTGAAATAGCAGAGCCAATGCCGGTCACGCCACCTACAATGAGGTATGTAGCGTCTTCATCCGCCAGGGAGACTGGCCTCAGCTTTGAGACTACCTGTACACAGATTTTCTTGTTAGCATCTGGATGTAGCAGAAATGGGGCGTGTAAGATAGACAGACCTTTACTTTATCCGTGTCGCCAGGTAAGAGAACTAGCTTGCCTATGTGCTTACCGGCCTGCATCAAACGAAGCGCTTCTTCGATTTGGGTGACTGGAAAACTGGATATAGGAAGAATGGGAATTTGGGCTCGTTCGTGGCAGATCCGAAGTCCTTCTGAAAGTGCTTCCCGCAGCAGGGCAGGCCGATACTCCCTCAGCTGCAAAAGGTCGACGCTCGCGAACGTGGTACACTTGCGGAACGGCGACATGTCTAGACGGCGGGAAGCTTCAATATCGATTTTGCCAACCTCAATGAAGCGACCAAAGCGGGAAACACAGTCCCACGTAGCCTTCAACAATGCCCCCGAGAGAGAGTTTAGCACCACATCAACTCCCTTTCCATTCGTCAACGCCATAATGGCAAGGGCAAAGCTTTGGTCTCTGCTGGAGAAAATATGATCCAACGGTATGCCATACTGAGAGGCTAGAAGGTCTCGTTTTGCCTCGGAGCTGCACGTGGCCAAAACCTTTGCACCCGCGTGCTGAGCTAGCACTACGGCTGCTTGTCCAAAACCTCCTGCTGCAGCGTGAATGAGAACGGTCTCGTTTCTTTGAACCCTGGCAAGATGAAAGAGGGAGTGATAGGCAGTGGCATACGCGACAGGAATCGCTGCAGCCCATTCAAAAGACATGTTGCCAGGTATTTTGACAGTCGTCATCCAATGCGTCTGCGATACGCTAGCATAGCGTCCTCCAGACATACAGCAAACCCTGTCTCCAACTTGATATCCGCTCTCTTCGGTATCTGGACCCAGCCGTGTGATAATGCCAGTGACTTCATGAGAAATGAAGTCCTCCTCTAGTTGGCCCAAGGCGACCAAAACGTCTCGAAAGTTCAAGCCGAAGGCTTTGGCAGCCACCTCCACATAGCCACTAGGAACGGGACCGTCGATGTCGAGCTTGTCAGTGAAGTGCATGTCACTCAAAACCCCTGAACTGGCCGGCTCCCACCTAAGCGGCCGGTTTGGCTGGAAGAATGGCTGAAGCTCGGCCGTGACGTCTACGTCGCCCTCAGTGCACAGCTGGCTGTTTAGCTTATCTGGTATAAGCCGCAATACCTGGAGCGTTCCTTCTTTGACGGAATATTCGTTCTCAATACCTGAATCCTGGATGAGGCTGTCATTGAAACTCTGCTGTAGGATGTGAGTGATGTAGCCGATCTTATCACTCGTCCATGGATGGTCACCAGACAAACCCGTCGGCTCAAAGTCTAGGAGGATGTACCGCCTGCCGGTATCTTCCAATCTCAGAGTCCTCAAGAATCCCTGGGCGGCAGCAAAAGAAGGGTTTTCAGAAGTAGCAAGCCCGCCAGACGTCAACCAAACCACCCCATGGCTGTTCATAACGAGTTTTCGGAGCAACTCAAACGATGTCTCACTAATCCCATCTAAAAAGGGGTGCTCAAGTTCAGCCGTAAACACGCATATTTTCCCATGAGCCTCTAATTGATCCAGGCTCTCAATAGACGGAACTATTCCCGTTTCTTTGTGAATGCGGTCGGAAAGTTCTGATAGCCATGCTTGTGGTGGTGCTTGGGATGGCTCGTTTACGATCGTGATTGGGACCTGGAACGCTTCGGTAGAGACGGCAGTCGAAAGAATTGTGTTTGCAGACTGCATATCTGGCTCTTCGTAGTCGTCCATTTCAAAGTCTATACCACCAAAGCCAGCCTCTCTGAGCAGTTCATCCCACCTCCTTGCGGAGACGTGCGGCCTCATCTTCCGGTCGTCTTCTTCGCTGAGCCACCACCCTGGGAGCACCCCGAACACCACCTGTTCATCAAGACGGCCCTTGGTAGACTCAAAAAGTAAGAGCCTGCCCCCAGGTTTAAGCAGTTTTCGGACATGTGACAGTGTCGTAGCTAGATTTTTCGTTGCGTGAAGCACTTGGGCCGCCACGATCAGATCGTAAGTCCCAGCTTCAAAGCCTTGTGTCGTGGGGTCCTCGCCGATATCGAGTGGCTTGAACTCCATCATGTCCTCCCACGGAGCAAGTTTCTCGCGAGCAGCAGCAAAGAATCCTTGCGAGATATCGGTGAAGGTATAACGGCCAAGCAATGAGCCACCGAGGCCTTCCCGTTGGCCCCTGGCATCAAAGGCTTCGAGAACTGCCTTACTCCATGCACCGGTGCCTCCTCCAATTTCCAGGATGCTAGCTCCAGGACTTTTCGAAGCATACAACTCTGCTAGTACGCCCGCATGGTGGCAGAGACGGACAGACCCTGGGTTCTCGCTATAGTATTGGTTAAGGAGGTTATTCTCCATCATAAGCTCCAGTGGCGTGCTTTCTCCACGTATAAATCTTGCCATGTTCTTTCCAACCCTGGATAGCAGCCTACTCGTACTGTTGCCAAAATCGAGCTCGTCGTAGAGCCTCTGTCTTATTCCTTTCGTCGCCTTTGTCCATGTCTGGCTGCCGGGACGAAGTTCTCCGCTGTCAGCGAGAGAAAGTGTAGCCTTCATCCACTCGTAGAAGAGCACATAGTGCCAAGCCCACGAGCTGGTGTCGATGGGTTGTGATTCCAGCTCACGAATGGTGTCATGAATGAAATACACCGAAGCCCGTGTCAGCTTTTTCTCCGCCTCTATTTCATTCTCTGGGGTAGGAATCTTCATGGATTCTTTGACGTATGCGGGGACGCCGTATGTAATGTCTAGCTCCCATGAGCTCTTGGAGCAGAGCATGCCCTGGTCGAGAGTCTCATTGTCCTGGTCACGAGGAACCGTCTGGCAGAAGAAACCATGCATTTGAAAGAACGGCCTATTGGGCACGTCTTCATCCTCAGTGTTCGTCACGTATATGTTGGATGTCTGCCCTCGTTTGTTCAAGCTAACAAGCTTTGTAAAAGCCTGTAGTGAATCTCCCGCCGTTCTCTTGAGGGACTTTGGCACAAACATAGTACGGATCGAGCGAGGGAGCATCAGGTCAGTGCTTTTCTCAAAAGCCGAAGTACAACAAAGGGTGGCTTGGAAGACGGAGTCGAGGGTTGTCGGGTGTATCACATAATCCCGGGCCGCAGATGCAAGAGCCGCAACGGCAAAACCTGTTATACCATTACCATCTACTGACTGGCCGTGGGTCAGATTTTGAAACAAGGGCCCATGCTGGATGCCCATTTTGTGCAGCTTTTTGAACATTGAGGCGACATCGACATCGGTAACTTCTCCGCTTGCCAGGCTCAGAAACTCTCTTGTTGTTGGTGGTGTAGGCTCCCGTGTTGTGGCAGCCTTTGGGGAATTTTGCATTTCACATGAGACGTAGCCTGTGCAGTTTTCGGTCCAAGAGCTGTCGGCATGGCGCGAGCAGAGCTCGAACTCGAACCAGCCAACATTCTCTAGCTCCTTATTATTACAAGTACGAAGGGAGATCTGGACCTCGACAGGCGACGATTCGGGGAGGACCAGAGCTTTCATGATCTCAATGTCCCGGAGTCGGTATCCGTGGATTGTCTGTTCCGACAGGTCTGTGAGGGCACGAGCTGCCTCAATAGCCATTGAGATGTAGGCCGCTCCAGGAACTACGACCTGAGACTCCACTTGATGATCTCTTAGCCATTCTAGTTCTGACAGGCGGAATACGTTTCGCCAGGTGTGGGTGCTGTCGCTAGTATCGGTGATCCGACTGCCAAGTAATTCATGAGGTGGTGTCTTCCTGTCCCTATACTGTCGACTTGGTCTCGACTCATCCCAGTATCTCGTGGTGTGGATCCAGGGATATGTCGGAAGATCCGGGACGAACGTGGAAGACGTTTCCGTGCCTACGGGGAAGTTCACTGATTCCAAAGAGATCGGATATCCCCGGCCTAAGAGCTCACATGCGAGCTCCTGCATGGTCTGGACGGCGTCAACCGGGCGCTTGAGACACGATACATATGGGATGTCGTGGCCTTTTGACTTGAGAATCTGCCGTATCGGACCTGCTAGGGTGCTGTGAGCCCCAATCTCCACGATCAAGTCGACGGATAATCCGTTGGGGCCGAAGCACATGTTCTCGAACGCTTGACTGAATAAGACCGGACTGGTGAGGTTGCGAGCCCAATGCGAAGGAGACAGGACCTCGGGTGATGTGATTATCTTGCCAGTGACTGGTGACGAGAAAAGCACCCCATCCCAGCTCTTGGCCGTGTCAGGAAGGATAGCTTCGAGAGCAGCGACGTACTGGTCGGCAATTAGCGACATATGGCGTGAATGATAGGCCAACTGCACTTTCAGCTTCCTATTGAAGATGCCGTCTTTTTCCAGGCGACTCAAGATCTCATCAAGAGCATCCGAGTCCCCAGAAAGAGTAACACTCTGGGGACTATTTACACAGGCCACTAGTACATGTTGGCCAGGGGGGAGGTTATCGAGGTATTTTTCAGCTGCCTCAGGGCCCAGCCCAACAGCGGCCATAGACCCTCGAACAGACTCAAGCTTCTGCAGCTCCATAGCAAGCTGTCCTCGCAGGTAGATAACTCCAAGTGCTTCTTTGAAAGAAAGCGCACCGACGGTGTATGCAGCGGCGATTTCACCGCTGGAGTGGCTGGTCGTGGCCGTGGGAGTAACACCCCAAGACTTGAGGAGGTCGACGAGGCACATCTGGAGAGCAACAGACGACGGCTGGCTGATCTCGACTTCGTTTATGCGCGTAGCATCCTCATCACGCAACAACTCCTCTAATTTAAGACACCAGGCAACGTTAATAGATGATCAAATATAAAAAGCTTGATTTCACGATACAAAGGGAAGAACGTACCATAAAGTGACCACTTTGCGCCGTAATTGCACAATATCTCAGAAGCCTCCCGGACTTGTTTACCGAATGATGGATAGGCGTAGATAAGTTCTCTACCCATGGCATGCCACTGGGCTCCTTGGCCGTTAAAAACAAAACCAATCCTCTTCGCTGGCTTGAGGGACGAGTTCGTTGCCTTGATTGCCGGGCTTTCCCAGAGATCGGAAAGCTCTGTCAGACTTCTTGCCGGGACAGCAACTACCCAGGGAAGCTTTGACCGTCGTGTATGAAGAGTATAAGCGAGATTGTTGGCTTTAATCAGCTGGCCACTCTCATGGCGGATATGTGCAGCAAATGTTTTTGCCATAGTTTTCGCTACACCGGAGTCTTTTGCGCTGAGAAGGTAAACAAATGATCGCTCAGTATGCGAGTGTCCATTTCTGTTCCCATTTACCTTCCCATTTTCCACGGGCTCCTCACCATGATACCCGTTTGAGTAACCATTCAGGTGTCCATTTGGGGCACCGTTGGTTTCGACCGGAGGCTCTCTAGTTGGCGCACCTTCTAGAATGACACTATGAACACAATCATCAGCACTAATTCCCGGGCAACTTGAGTCACGGCAGTGATAGTCTAGACACGAAAGGATATGGGAGAAAGGGGTGACAAAATGCAAAGGCTGCTCACTGGGCGTTGGCACCTCCATAACCAAAGTTGTTTATGGAGGCACGAAGCATCTTGTCTTTCGGCCATGGTGTCAAAGCTGTGGGTACTTTCAAATGCCAGTCTACCAATGGGATATTCTTATTTGGGACGTCGTAATTGAGATTCGGTGGAATCACGCGGTCCCGGAGTGCGTAGCAAGTTTTGATGATGGCCGCGATGCCACTAACCGGCTCTGTGTGCCCGATTACTGTTTTAACAGAACCGACGAGGATCGGATCGCCAACCGGACGGCTTTGACCAAAGGTTCGAGCCAATGCTTCGGCTTCGATCGGATCGCCTATGCGTGTTCCGGTCATCTCCAAAGAGGTGTTAATGAGACTACAACATGCAAACGAAGGCTCCACGTAAAGACGAGGTCACAACAAAAGGGTACTTGCATGTGCTTCAACATAACCAGTCTCGCTAATGTCGAGGTTTGCCCGTTTGTATGTGGCCTCGATAAGCTGGATCTGCGCGTCCATGGACGGGGACGAGAAAGTGGTTGTTTTTCCATCATGGTTCGTTCCACTCGCTCGGACGACGGCGTGCACGCGATCCCCGGACGCCAGGGCAGCGTGGAGAGGTTTCAGTATAAGAATCCCGCAGCCCTCGCCGCGGCCGTAGCCGTTGGCTCGTGAGTCCCAAGCAAAGCATCTTCCATCTTTGCTCAGGGCCCTAATAACTTGTCAACCTTTGTGGAACAAGGTGAGGGTAGCTCAACGTACCCCAAGCAACTCATGGCAATGAACATATCCTCGTTTAGAAGTGCATTGGTTCCTGTCACTATAGAGAGGTCCGACTCTCCAGCCCAAATGGTCTGACAAGCTTGACTTAGGGCGACCATGCTGGCCGAACATCCTGTGTCAATACTCATACTTGTTCCTCTCAAGTCGTAAAAATACGAGATACGGTTGGAAAGCATGGCTGTGCCATTTCCGGAGATGGAATCTTTGAGGAGATCAGGATCTCGAGATTGATTCTCGTAGTAGTCCTTACTGAAGCACCCAGTAAACACTGAAGTATTTGAGCCGACTAAATTCTCTATGGGAATCCCGGCTGTGATTTGTGTGAGTAAAGCTCCAGGAGATAAATGGGCGGTGAAGAGGAGCGGATAAATTCGCATGTACATACCATCTTCAGTTGCTTCATACACTCCTTCTAGCAGAAGGCGAACCTGGGGATCAAGTGACTAATAGCAGAATTAAGTGGTTTTAGTAAGCTGCCTATTGGCCGATCATAATCGCTACCTTAGGGTCGAACGTACGCTAGCTACATCTCCAGTAAGTTTAAAGAAGGCCGAGTCAAAGAGAGTAATGTCTTCTTTCAGAAAGTAGCCGCTACGGACATGCGTCTGAACCGTGGCGTGTTAACCCTGTGTCAAGGAATGTGGAACGATATGTTACGACATACTCTGCCCACTACTTGGGGATCGGGATTATACCAGGCTTCGACTTGGAATCGGTCCTCAGGAATAGGCGACCAGCCGTCCTTGCCTTCTTTACAGAGCTCCCAGAGTTTGGCCGGGCTGGTAGCACCTCCAGCAAAACGACAACTCATGCCCACAATGGCGATTGGGAACTCAGCCGGCCGAGAGCCGGATGAATGGGCGTTGCTCGAACTAGGTCCATGGCCGTCTTGACCACGAGGAAGAGGACCGGAGTTGATCATTTTCTTATTCGAGCCCGTCCTGATTCCGATTTTGAGGCAGGAAGATCGTGCTGTGATGGGTATCTAACACCTCCGGAAACGGTATTTTCGTTTGAGAAATGTTCCAAACTATTCACGTTGCTGGTTTAGAATAAATAACAACCAAGCCCATCAACCTTCTCTAGTACGTTCGTTTCACAAGTAATCTTAAGGAATCGTGACAAATAACTAGCCTGTCTCTCGTTTCATACTCACTTCCGGAGAAATGCGCCCGCAGCTGAATTGCAATCGCTTGTTTGTCAAGCTGATGACCGGATGTTTCCAAATAGACCTCCAGCATAATATCTCCTTAAAACGGTAAGATCCGTGATGGAGGGTTGTACCATCAACAATAAAGTTACTTAGGGGGATTCACCGTCATCCCCTGCAGTTGCATGGACGAGCAAATTATCATGGACGTCGTGGGGGTAACAGCGACGTTACACTCTATGTAAACTTAGCTGATTTTAGTTGTATATACGGCGAAATATAACCTGTTTAGACGCGCAGGTCTATAGATATTGGATAACCGTCCACAGCCCGGCCAATCGAATACAACAATGCATGGTTTTTCCGTGGCTGACTGCTACGTGATGTGGTGTGTGTGGCAAGAGGGAGTGTGCAGTGAGGTGGGTCATCGTATTGCATTGGGAGTTTGCGAGTGAGTCTCCAGGACCGGGGCCCCGGAATCATGATACGTATTGAATCCTACCCGATGGCCTCATTTGTTACGATTGAGTCTGTGCACCAGTAACGTCTAACGAAGTCACCACGCTGTTTTGTGTCACCCATACATCCTAAACGGAAGGGGGGTACCTCGCCTGGGATATGCTGCGCCAATAAGCGACATATGCTTACTGCATAACACTGTCAATAGATGTCTTGCTTTGTTATCTTTGTAGCTTGTACCTATTGAAGCTCGTTACCCCACTGTCCAAGGATGCCCAATCTTTAGGCAATCTGTCCGCCAACCGGCCAACGAGCTCGGGCCTGAGATATTCTCTACATCAATCCGATGTTATCAAACCATAGCGTCAATCGTAGAACAAACCTCCGTAGCAGTCTGGCCCATGATGCCGACTTCCAGTATTGCGATTGTTGGCGACCAGCCGTCCAAAGCGGAGGGAATTTCTGATGACTCTGTCACAGTGGAAAAGGTAGAGGCGGAGGACGAAGGCCAGCCCCAACAAGAAACCGAGCGGGAATTGGAGTACCCGTCTGGCCCTAGATTTTGGGTCATCGTCTTCGCACTCTGTCTGGTTGGCTTTCTCATCTCTTTGGTTAGTCAATCTCATCTCTACTAGGGCTGACAGAAACATTTATTCACACACAATGGCCGAGAACAGGACAGCACCGTCATTGCCACCGCAGTACCTGAAATCTCGAACGAGTTCGACTCGCTGTCGGACATTGGGTGGTACAGTAGTGTGTACTTTCTCACAATGTGTGCCTACCCCAGCTCTCCCTTATGAAAGTCTACAGCCGATACCCGATCCGCTTGACCTATGCGGCTGTCATGGTAGTCTTCCTAGCCGGATCAGCTCTCTGCGGCGCGGCACCCAACTCCCAGGCGCTGATAGCCGGCCGAGCTATCGCTGGTTTTGGAGCTGCTGGTCTCTACTCTGGCAATAATGCCTTGGTCCCGTTCCTGGCGCCTGCTCCGAAACGACCCTTCTTCTTTGGCTTGTTCCTAGGCGCCATGGGCCTGGGACTGGGCAGCGGTCCATTAATAGGCGGCGTACTCACGGAAAACGCTACCTGGCGCTGGAATGCAAGTTGGATGGCCAACCTCTCCTTCTTGGTACCTGATCTAACGTTGTTCCACCTCTAGTTCTACTTGAACCTGCCAGTCGGTGCTTTCATCTGTCTCGTGCTCTATTTTTCTGTCCAAACTCCAGCACGTACGGGTCAAGCAGCCATCCCCATACCCTGGCAAAGGTTCGTCCAGAGTCTCGATCTGCCCGGCTTGATCATCCTCACGCCTGCAATGGTTTGTCTTCTTCTTGCCTTACAATGGGGAGGGGTCACATTCCCATGGAGCAATGGCCGTGTTATCGCATTGCTAGTTGTTTTTGGTATATTGATGACCATCTTCATCGCGGCTGAAGTTTATCAAGGCGGCAATGCCATGCTCCCGAACCGCATTATGCACCAGTTCCACGTCCTCAGTGCCGTCTGGTTTTGTATTTGCAGCAATGGAACAACCGCCGTTCTCAGCTATTACCTTCCGATGTAGGTGATGCTTCGTTGCTATACATACTAGTCCCGTGCTGATGATGAATCGACAGTTGGTTCCAGGGGGTGAAAGGCGACTCGCCGATCCAGTCGGGCATCCATACACTGCCACTGGTCATTATGACTGGTGCCGCCTCCGTTTTGGGAGGAGGGCTTATGGCTGCGTTTGGCCGGGTCGGGCTATGGACCGTGGTCGGGTCTGTGTCTGCAATTGTTGGTGCTGGATTATTTACATCACTCAGACCCAACACTAGCTTGGCCAAATTGGCCGGTTACCAAGTTCTATCCGCGGTTGGCTCTGCTGCCGGTAGACTCTGTCCCAGTGTCGCACTTCAGAATATCCTAAACGACAAGGACATTTCTTATGGCTTTACTCTTCTTACGTTTTTCGCGTCGATGTCTGGGTGAGTGATATAGGAGTTGTTCCAGAAGTCTTTTAATATATTAATCTATGGCAGCGCAATCTCTGTATCTATTGGGCAGGCACTGTTTACCAACTCTCTGGCGAAGGAATTGCGAGAACTCGGGATACCAGAGCAAGATATTGATGCTGCCCTTGGGGGAGGCGTTAATACAGTTGCGGCTGGACTTCCAACTGAGTTTCAAGCAGCAATGCTTACTGCGATGAACGAATCGGTTGTCAATGTATGGCGCCTCCCATTGGTTTTGTCGTGCCTTGGAATCATCGGGGCCGTGTTCATCCAGCACTGGAGCATCCGTGCGATACGTTTGCCTCGGTTAACTCGAAATTAAGGTTGCCTATGTATATCTAGTAGTTAACCATATTCATCAATGCGATATCAGCGATTAAACAGACTTTTGAACTCATTCGTCTTTCTTCTATTAGGTTCAGTGGCTTTTTCGGCTGACATATAGATTGATAAACCCAGTAGGTTCTTGGTAAGATCCAGGCAGTTACTACTTCACTAGAGCGTTTAGGTCTTAAGACCTTATACTACAATAACCGTTACATCATTTCGCGTATTGCTTCATATTTCATAGGATTTTAAGTGTCCACGATAGCTACATTGATATCAAGCAATTCTGAATTCTATCTAAGTTCTAGCAAGGCCAACTCTCTACTCAGATAGATTCTCGATCACCCAAATGACGTTGTCAACCTTTTGCTCCACCTCGATGAGAATACCCCATGCGGCTCTCATCGGTGCGATCCGAACCTTGATACATCCCAAGGCCTTCTTCAGGTCTTCAAAATGAAGCTGAATGGCTTTGTAGAGAAGCCGAGTTTTTAAATGACGTAAATCTAGTCTATAATTTCCAATATCAATCACGACGTCGCCGGGACCAGCAGGCCGGCTGCTCCCGAAATGATCGTTTCCATAACCCCGGCGCTCCTGGAGCGCCAGAAGCCTAGTCGATACTTCCTCCGCTGTGGGAACGAGTTGTTTTGCAGTGGCTGCGAGAAGCGCAGCATGGTCTATGCAAATGTCGCAACTCACGCATGCCAGCACCCGCGAGTATATCTTGATACTCTGTCCGAGGCGTTGAAGAAGCGCGTCGATTTCGGAGGAATCCCTGCATGTGTATCGCTCTTCTAGAAGCTTCGCTACGCTGCAGAGGCAGGTGCAAGATGCGAGCTGTTTTCTTGAGTGTGAATCATTGGTCGGGAGCGAAGTCAAATGCGACCCGGTATTGGTTAACTCCGTGGGTTGTGTGAACAAGAAGTCCGAAGCCAAGCCTCGGTCAGCTTGGTTCACTGAGGCCTCATCTGATGATAGCAAAGAGCTCAGATCCGCCCAAGGAAATGAGGCGGTTGAAGTTTGCATGCTGTAAAGCATACGCTGATCCACGTCTGCCTTTGAAAATGAGATGGCGTCGTCATTCCTCGGCTCATCCATGTCCTCTTCATAGTTATCAAATGGATCCTGGGAATTGTCCAGGCTTACGGGTGTCAATTGGGTCTCCATGATCTGCATTAGAGGAACCTCGTCGGCAGAGCTAGTGGGATCCCCGGGGCCGGTTCCTCCCATCCCTGCCAGGTTTGAAGATATCAACCCATCGCCGCTCTGTGTCGACGAACGACGAGTTATGGATCCTGGAGTAGGGCACTGACGAGTCCTCCGTCTATCGATATAAGTGCAGCTCCGAGATGGGTCTGCCAGACATCTGTTGCAGCGGCTTTTGTTCCCGTTGCACCGGAGCTGTAATCGATGTGAGTAATGATCCAGCCAAAATCCCAGCTAGGGAAAAAAACCAATACCCAGGGGTCTGACTTGCCTTTCGGGTGCGGCACGGATCACACGCAGCTATCGTGTAACCGCGAGCGTCGACACTGTCTTCGCTCGAGATCTCAATGTGTTCGTACTCATCTGTGGATTTGTTGTATCTAAAAGTGCCGAACATGATCTCACTGCAGCCGGACGCTAGACCAAACCTCGCATAGGATGAAGAGCTGGGTAAACAGGCTGTAAGGGAAGGATCCGGGGGTGGGGGACCAGGTCTTCTCGGAAGATTGGTATTTGACTTTAGATGAAGAACTACAAATCCCGTACAAATCACGTGCTTGTTATCATGGTGATAGTTGCTACCCGGAGGCGTTACTTGGATAGCAATGTCCACCCTTGGCGTCTGACTGGCATATGCGAGCAAACTTGAGGGTGGGATCGGAACATGGGCCACCTTCCGCCATGGCTGATAATGACGTGTGTGCTCGCTAGTCGGGTACATGTAAGCATCATGGAAGAGAGTTGGGGGGTTGCTGCAGTTATCAGAGGTATGTCACGCATCTGAGAAGGATTCAAAATCACCCAACCCCCCGGCCCACAGACCCGATCCAGTCCAACCGTGAGGGAATAGGAGTAAGAGGAACCAATCCCTGGCAGCTACGGTACCCCCTCCCCGAACCCCTACCCAACCGCTATGGGTCACTGAAAAAAGGTATTCCTTGCTTTAGGGAATGTCATATTTTAATATTTAATCCTAGATAAATCAAGTTAGTTTTAGTTAGTATAAAGTCTCTCTTGTTAAAGCTTTAGAACGTAGTATATACTTTGGCGCTCGCTAATACTGTAACGAATACAAATCCAGCTTATCATAGAAAGAATCTAATAGAATATAATGTAAGGCAACCGATCTGTCTATAAATCATCTAAACAGAATCATAATATAAGATACTTCTCTTATACTAGAGTATCTTGTATATACCTACATATCACTAGCCGGTGTGTTATGCCATGTGCATCGTATAGCGGCCAAATTCTTCATCTTTGTCAACAAAATCCCACTCATCCTCAAACACACTCAAGACAAGTTCCAGTCCCCCATGTTTCTTCCGCGGCATTACGTAGCACGCAGGAACTTGGGATCGATTGCGACTGCCCATAAGCATGCGAAATCCTACCGGATGGCCTCCATTGGCGAAAATACTGTCGCCAAAGCACGTCGTATCCTCCGGGATCATGATCATAGACGACATCATCCATGTGTCCTCGACGCTCATATGTCGCAGCGGCTGAAGTAGGGTCAAATCCGGCATCGAGTCCACCAACATGTATGCATCCATGATTTGTTCGTGGTTGATATTGCGCGCGTTTAGGCGGATAGCATGTGCGACGAAAGACAGAGGGGATTCCGGTTCGATCAGTGCCCTCAGCGGGACTTTGGTTCGATGATAAAAGACACAGTTTCCGATATAAGAGGCAGGTAGCATATGCGAGAAGTCAGGCCGGGCATCGCACACAGTCTGTAGCTCATATTGGGAGTCCATATCCGCCATCTTACCACGATCAGCCACTCGAGCAGCTACACGGGCTCGCATTAATGTGCGCCAGAGCAGACCCAGGATAATGTCGTTCCCTGAGACATCTGACGCCTCCAGTCCCTTCCTTCCTTCGTCTTGCAACTCCTTGAAAGCCGTGGCTGGCATGTAATAAATCCGAGATGTCATCGTTTGGGCACGGGGAGGTACTTTAACTCTCTTCGCTGGGCTGAGACCATCTGTGTGTGGCCCTGGAGGGTTCAGTCCGATCAACTGCCACGTCTCGGGAGACACCTCTGCCACCGTGTGGCCTGTTGCTTCTTTGCGCCATATGCGAGCTGGGAGGGTTCGATCCCAGCTCTCGGGCGGAAGCAGTGCAACCGAGTCAGAGCTGCCCTGGCTCCCTAAGCTCAGGATTCGGCACTGGTCCCCCCAAAGCTTGAGGAAGACACCCATACCGATGGCGTCACAGGCCGCGTGATGCACAGACGGTACCAGAAGGCAAGCGCCTGGGATGAAGTTGGCCTGGGCCGCTACCACCTCGAAACCTTCGTTGAAATTCGTCCCTTGAGGCTTGTACGACACCCAGGTCAGCTGCTCGTCATCGAAGTTATCGACGGGAAACCCGCTCATTTCGAGGTCGTCTAGAGACAGAGACGTCTCTAGCTCATTATATCGGAGCTGATAACACTTGGGCATGCCAGTGTCGTCAATATTTGGGTTGAAGCGAATCTCAAGTTGGCCCGGTCGCCAGCCCGGAGTCTCGGGCGACTGTGCATATATCTTTCCATTGAGCCACGGTGTTTGTAAGAAAGTCTGATACAAGCCCTCCTTTAGCTGCTCGAATACCTGTTCATTGGTAACACCAGGCTGGATGCGGAAGTAGATGATACCAGGCTGAGGTGTTGGTGGTGGCATGTGATCCATCGGACCAAGAGGGATATGGTGAAGACTCGACGCCATGGCTAATGGTTGATGCTCATATGCTTCTTTTTCCGTAGTGGTCTTTGATAAAGGTTGCCGGGTATCGAGGCTTCGTGGAGATTGGCAAGGCTATCACTACAGCTTCTATGATTCACATGTATACGATCCTCAGCTTCCTGCATGAATAAGCTACCAAATTCTAATCTTTACTAGCAACCCAGCACATGCTTCTTCATCAGGCTCTCGGAATAGAGCATACATACACCCCCATTCCCGGGCAGCCATAGATGACAAGGCCAAGACTAATCCCTCGCTTGATTGCAGAACCTGAGTTGCATCGGTGGGATGATACAGGTCTTAATGCCCGAACGGGATAGAGTTCCGAAATGTTCAAACATACCAAGGTGCCGAGCCATATCGCTGTTGGAAGCGCTACGTAAATCCGCCCTTCCGTATGCACGCAGACCAATACATACGTCAATACACCGAATAGGAAACTTCCGTACGAGAGGCCAACGTAATCTTACAAGCACCGCATTCTAGACCCGTTCTGCTGCAGGAGGCGCCAAAGCCCTGCCTCAACACCCCTCCTCCAACATGCATCCAGACAAATCCAGCAGCCACCATCGATACTGATTAGGTAACCTTCGCGTGATCGTAATTCGGTAATCCTACAATCACTGCATTATAGGCCGGGTAAAAGGCCGAAATGTAGTCGGTGGCGCCCGAGCAGTGGTAAGAAGTAAGACATAATAAATACCAATATTGGCGCGTAGGAGCATCTCTTTGCCGTATTTCTTGCCCTCTTCCGATTAGTAGCCTACCGATCGATCTTTGAGATGGAGGAATACTACCCCAGGGGGTCTCTATCATCCCCGACACGATACATTCAGATTATAATCCATGTTTCAGGTCTAGCTTGTTTCACCGCATCGTTCGTTTGGCTCCCCAACATCACAAACCCGCTGCATAATGGATTTGGCGGCTCGTTCCAGTTCCTGACCATAATTGGCCTCGCCATGTCCACCATCACGTTTGGAGTTGGCATCATTACAGATGTGACGCCCAAAACAGAGCTGCTGGCCCTGCGGGGGCTACTCTCCCTGTGTGCGACGTCGTTGGAGCTACTCATCGGCGTCCTCTACTGGGGCTCTCGTGCCATCGACAAGCGTCTCGTGGTCCCTCCAGGGCACGAGGTCCCGTTCATTCCTGACATTGGCTTTCACGCTGTACCGGCCATCGCCCTAGTGCTGGATTTTATGACTCTAGGCCCTCCGTGGTTCATCAGTGCCTCCCAGGCCCTGGGTCTTGGCTTGGTGATGGCTTTTTCTTACTGGGCTTGGATTGAATACTGTTTCTCTATCAACGGGTGGTGAGGTTTCCCACAATACCCTCTCCACTTACCACTTCTGACGCTGCTTCCAGGTATCCTTACCCCTTTCTCACAGTGCTCTCTCTCTGGAAAAGGGTTTTTCTTTGCATCACTTTTGCCTTTCTGATCACGAGTAGTGCACTGGCATTGCAGTGGACACATGCACAGACGAGCAAGTACCTTCGGAAGACCACATCAGATCCTACCAAGATTGAATGACCATGGGCTTTGGGGGGCGCATAACGCAAAGAGATTTTCTGTTTATGTGCATTGAAGCCTGATCGATGCAGATTGAACCTTCATTGCCGATCACAACTTAACCTTAATTCAATATAAACCTGACTGCTTCATTCGTCTAGTTTATATTTATACCAGCAGGCCAACATGCTAGGCAACAGTAGGAAGACGCTAGTTCGGCCAACAGATGTGTTTCTCGTTATTCGATATCTTGCCCTTTGAACTAGGATCAAGTAAAAACTTCACTAAGGATATTAAGTCCAACACCTTTGCAAGAAATATATTAAACTTAGCTAGCGCCAAGGGCGGGCGCATATACGACAAATAACTTCATGGTATAATCCTGTCATCCCAGCTTCCTACTCACCTACAAGATCATACCTTGTATTACCTGATACCAGCAAGGCTGTAACTCCTTCTTACCCACTACTTCAACGGCACCAGCTTCGAAGTGGTATTGATCCCGTCACGCAAATATAGTGTGCTTATTGAATATCATGTGTATGGGCCCTCACTAAGATGTAGCCGAACGCACGACGGTTTGGTAGAGAACCGACCTTCGGTCTAACTCAAGCTACATCGATTAATCTTGCGCAGTCGAGGTATTACCCTGTCCAACTAATTTAGGTTCTAGATCTGCCATCAACGGCTCGGATCTTACTTCTTTAGTAATTTGGTTGCATAAGAAACTCGGATATTGCTCTTTCTATCCAGTTCATCTTCTGGGAAACATGCATAATAACCATATCTGGCAATTGTTCATGCACACTGTTGATAGAGCTGACAGGATGAAGGCTCGGCGGCATCGGGGTTGAATTCCCTCCGCTGCAACTAGCCGAGTCTGTCGCCTCGGCCTTCTTTTGCACGATACAACTCTATCAATAAGGCGAGAGGCCAAATTTCAAATCACTGCATAGCAGGCCGTTCGATAGCAGTTGACTCACCAATTAGCGTGATGGCATTGATATCGCTGCAAGTCGACTCAAGCTATTTGCTCATGCGCCTCTAGCATAGTATAACAGTCACATATTTGATTGAACGTACGGGTGGCATAATCACATGAATTCCCCTGTTCGGTTCTCTATATGAGGATGTTATTTGATTATCTGAAATCCCAACAGATATTTCGAGAACCAACGACCCTCTCAGCCCACCATGAACACAACTATCACTTACATAGAGCCCATCGCCTCTGTTGCGACCCTTAATGCTGTATCGGATGCGATAGATAACCTCCACGTCCTTGAGGGCGAAATGGTGCAGGGCCAACTTCAAGGCGCAGATTATACCACTCATTCGGCCTTTCACTCCGAGAAAGATAAAACGACGTTCCGGCAGTATGAATCAGCTTGCGATCGCGTCAAAGACTTTTACCGTGAACAGCACACTAAACAGACAGTGGCATATAATCTGTTGTCTCGCAATCGATTCCACTCTTCCTCGCGTGTCCGCCCAGAGCTCACGGTGTGGGAGGCCATTGAAAAATTAAACACCTTAGTCGACGACAGCGACCCTGATACGGAGCTCTCCCAGATTCACCATCTGCTACAGAGTGCGGAGGCCATCCGTAATGATGATAAACCTCGATGGATGCAACTCACGGGACTTATCCATGACCTCGGGAAGCTGATGATTTTCTTCGACGGGGCACAAGGCCAGTGGGACGTTGTAGGAGACACGTTCCCCGTCGGATGCGCCTTTGATCCTAAATGCATCTATCCAGAGACGTTTTCCGCAAATCCCGATGCCCAAGACCCAGTATTCAGTACGATGGATGGAATCTATACGCCAGGTTGCGGGATTGAAAATTTACTGATTTCATGGGGCCATGACGAATACCTCTACCTTGTTTTGAAAGACCAGTGCACTTTGCCAAAGGAGGCCCTCGCGATGATCAGATATCATTCATTCTACCCGTGGCATAAAGAAGGTGCTTACCGTGCCTTTATGGCGAAAGGCGATGAAAAGTTGCTGCAGGCTGTACAGGCATTTAATCCTTACGACCTATACAGTAAAAGCAACGGTATCCCGGACATTGAAGAGCTCAAGGTACGTGATTCAACCACATCAAATTTGATAAGCATTAACTTCTAAGTAGCCTTATTACCTTGAACTCATTGATGAATTTTTCCCCAATAAAAAGATCAAATGGTGAGACGGGGTTTTATCAATCCTCTCCGAGGGCACCTAGGAGCTTTGTTTTGGAGGGATAGTTGGTATTATTGTAGTCGCTTGTGTACGTAGTTTCAATGAAGGTATTCTTAAGGCTACAACCTTGTGATTGATAGAATACTGGTATGAGAGCCGTTAGTTGGCCAGTTGGCAGGTGCTAAGAAGGTCCTTGTTTAAAGTAGTCATATTTAAGATAGGCGCTGATGTTAATGACGTCGACATTAAGATGTGTAGCAGCCTGAGCTTATAGTCATAATATTATAGGTTTACTCAAAACTTAAAAATATAGTAAGTACAATAAAAATAAGGATAGAGGTACCTTTAAAATAAAGATTAAGCAGTAAAAATAGCTATACTCAATTAAGTGTTCATAGAAAATCAGTAATAAGAAAGTGAACATGGTTCTATATGTGAAATAACATAATACTCTTAAATGGATAAATATCTATCAACCTGGAAATTGTTTTGGTTTTGTTGCCAGTGATTGTAGTTCAACACTACTTCTATTATATACCGGCTCGGCTGTGTAGGGTAAGATGTTTTCATCAGCCATGTATGTAGCTGGACGGTCATTGACTGATATATTCTCAGTGTCCTGACCACTCGAGTACCATCGGTTTGCGGAGGCTGCGGAAGTTGTGGACTGCCCCTTTGACATATTTGACGATACAAAGCTTGTCAATAAGGAGAGTTTAGACAAGTTGACTGCTTCGCCGAGTTTACCCAGAATGGGTTTAATAAACACCACACAGGCTGTTTATTTATAGGAAGCCCGTTAATATACATAAGTCCACCGAGAGGGAATCATCGCAATGTAGGGGAGTTGGCACATACCACACACGATGGACACGTTTGGCTCTACCAACTGCCAAATTATCGCGTCGACTGCATTCCATGTCACATCAAGATTCTTTGATTGGATAACAAGAAGCATTTTAAGTCGCACAATTGACACAGCTGTAACACTTTACAGTGTGTCAGCAATAGAGTAATGAGTATAGGGGGCTCGGCATACTAACAAGAGACCAACGAGAAGGATGCCGGAAATGGCGATTTTTTGCGACTTTGGGAGCTGGAGCTTCCAGACATATGGTGTCGGGAGGACGACCACGGCGAAGTCGGTCACGATACTGGGTATTCCGCTTCCGTAGTACAAGTGGAATCTTTCCACGTCGCACACGTACTCGGTCTTGCGCATAGGATGAACAAGATTGTATTGTTCCCAGTTCGCACGCACGGGGCGGCATCTAAACATCGAAGTGAGAAACTATTTTCATTCAGTATTAGCAGACCTCACTTTAGTTCACTCTTCGATGCACGTTTACTTACTACACCAACCGCCCAAATAAGAGTAACCACCCCAATGGCAATGATCGGTATCCGAATGGATTTCTCAATACCAAAAGTTCGCCAATAAAAGGCCAAGATGGATAACTTGACCAGGCAGAGCGTCCAGATGTAGCATACTTCGCCTATGAAGAGTGCGAACGCACAGTTTCTCACTGAATCTACCTCATTCGCCCAAACATGTTTGCCAAATCCATTTTGAACGCCTGAAATAGTGAATGTCAGCACTGGTGTATGCTACTCGTGTATCAATATATCAATAATGCTGGAGGAGAAACTGAACGCACCGTAGCTGGCAAAGAAGACTACATGGACTAATGAGAATGGCTAGCACGGGACGGCAGGATTAGCGTTTGGATATACCAGTTGGGAGCAAAACAAATAATCGCACAATAGACGCCAAAATCAGCCAATCCTCAATCCCAAGCTTGACTCCTCTGACTCTTCGACTCGCGAGACGTAGCACGAGAGTGGCAATGGCTACTGCCCATGTCGAATAACCAACAGCGACAATGGTTGGCCCCCTGTTATCAGAAAGATCCGTACTTTCCATCTCGCCAGAAGGCAAAGTAACAGAGAAAATGTTAAAGAATTATGAGCATAGGCGGAGAAGTATTCTGAGGTAGCAGCTAAAAGAAGAGCAAGGAAGGCTGGAAGGCTGGCTTGTGTGACGCATGGCACCGTGGCTGAATCACACGCATATGCACAATGCTTGCATTATCACAAGACAACACGTCGCTTCGTCTATATCTGACCTCCATTTTGCTACCTTGTGTGAGGGTACGAGAAAGCTTGAAATGGTTTCAGCTGAGTAAGATGCTCGCTAGAAGAGAGATATCTTGCAGGATGGTGCACGTGGATCCTTCAATGTAACCCACAGAAGCTGAATATTAGCTTGGGGGTGTGGTTAGCTAGGGTGAGATGATATCGTACTACCAATTCTTTGCCAAAAAGATTGATAGTGCAACAGGGAACCAGCCACCGTAAGCCTTGGCTGCCAATCCTGCTGTCCACTCAGTGGCAATTTCAAGGTCGCAACGTGGAAGTGGATGGGCTTAAACAGGCCTTCGGCGTAAGTCTAGAACAACATCCATGGACTGGTCTCGTCCCGTCGCATTTCATCTCGCGAGCACAAATGAGACCCACTCTGTGACGGTCGTCGTCACATTGATGACGGCCTGTTTTCGTTCATGATGACCAGGTCTTGAGCAGCGGCAATACACCAAACGATGAATGGCCATGGGTTGCGATCGTAGATCTGAAGAGACGATATCTTTAGTGAATCGGCGGTCAGCCCCGAGTTGTTTGACTTGCTTTCATATATAACCAGGAGCGTTGCTGGCGGCGATGGGGGCACAGGCTCTGTACTGGCAGCCTAAGTGGGCTTCCTGCAATCCCCTTATCTACCTCCTTCATTAATATTGCCAATTTGTTCTCCTGTTAACGACATTATTTAAAACAGTATATCATGTCACGCACATCGCGGGGTGTCGGTGCAATGGAGGGCTGGTTCGACGAAAACTACGGCTTGTGCCAAAGAACTCGTATTCATTGTGTTGAGATGTCGGGTCTGGCATCTCCTATTGTTGTTTTTAACTTTATCCTCGAACTCTCTTCTGTGCCAAAGAACTCGAACCATGCTCTTGTAACTTTGGATAGGTCTACTGCCTTCATATCCACGTTCCTCAAGGAAACACTCCACGTCGCAAACGGACTCGGCACAGCGCACTTTCGAGCCTTGCTAGGTCTCGAGACTCGAGGCACGAATTCACCGCTGTCCATCGCTGTAGGGCTTGCACTACCGCCATCGGTATCCGACGGCTAACAGTAATTCCACGACACATCCTACTAGGATGTGTTGAAATTTGGTGGGTGAATTTTCGCGCTACTAAAAAGTAGGGGGTAGGATGTGTTGAGTAGGATGTGTTGATTAATTGGTCAATAATTATCAGGGACCCACAAAAGATAGCTATTTACCCAGTATTTAACCGATATTTCCGATATTCCCGCCAGGAATATCATTCACCCGGTATGTCGGTGAGGCCTCAACCAAACGCCTAGTTAAACCAGGCCTCATCGAGATCCTCAGCCGCACTATCTACTACCTTCGAAACCTGCTTTATTAACATATTCAACCTTAATACCTTATAATCTATAGTATTATACTGAACATAATGGAGCCATTTATCCATCTTATACAATATCCATTTATTATCTGCAAGCAGTGCAGTTATGCATGCGTTACCAAGGAAGTGGAAACACATCTCCAAGCTCAACACCCATTATTCACAATATCCCAGAGAAGAGAAATCAAGGCAGCTATCCAAGCCATAGATGGGCTTCTACAGGATCAAGAAGAACTACGTAGATATCCATTACCAATATATATCGCAGAGCCAGTACCATATATCTCCCCGCCAAGAACAGATGGGAAGCAATGCAAGCAGTGCCCATATATTGCTTGTACAGAGGTTGGGATACGAGACCATTGCAGGAAAGCACACCAATGGATCAGTAATTGGAAGAAGGGTGGTAACATCAGGAAAAAAGCAGCAGAGGCTCGCGATCAGCCATGGATAAGCGGTGTGCATTGCCAGCGGTTCTTTATCCGAAGGGCTGCGAGCAGCTGGTTCCGTGTTGGCTCAGGTGGAGAGACTGCTAGCCCTGACCATACCGGCCAAACAGAAGCAGCGATTGAAAGAGTTCAGGAGCTATTTAGGGAGGAGGCAGCGAAGGAGGCGCAGGAGACACGAATGATCATCCAGGTTGGTGATGACCGGCTTGAATCCAACGGATGGCTCGAGTTTGTTGGCTGGGCAACGCATCTCCAGGGGCTATCTGTTACCAAGCTCTACAGTACAAGGCAGGATATCCGGGAGGAGGAGACAGCACTGCAGTCAGCATGGAAAGTGATGGAGTATGTGCTCAACCAGGCACGGGCAACTGCGACAGCCGCCAAGGTGGGCAAGGCTGCATTATTCGAGGTGGCCCGAACCGCTCTAGAAGGGAAGCCTAATCGGCCATTTAACAGTAGAATGGAGGAGGATACTTGGAAGCGGTATAGGGATGTGTTCCGACAGATACTATGCATCATCTATCGTGTAGATGAGATGGCTGATGATGAGCGACCGCCATTCATCTTCACAACAGCACAAGGCGATCATTGGGATACATTCATCGAGGCTATGTCTAGCGAGGATAGGCAGCAGGGTGATCAACCCAGCCAGGATGAACAGGATCTATGCCTAACCCTACTAATCAGCTGGTTTGATCATGCACTGAAGGGGGATGCATACCGAAACGTGCTGGTGAGCTGCTTGGCCGTCATGGGCATCCGGCAAGATGGAGGGTGGGAGTCCGTGCTTAACTACACATCGATCTACTCAGCCGTGATCAAGGTAGCACGGATGCTCGTGCTATATCAGTCATACTGTGAGCGGGAGGCGCAGGTGATCCAGCACTCGCAGGCGATGGAGGCACATGATGCCTATGAGGAAGCGGAGAGCGTGTTCCGCATACTGCGCGGCAAGATGGCACGGTTCATGGTACGGGTGCACGGGGGGCCCACGGCCGAGCCGACACCACTAGACTGGATCTTCGAGGCACGAGCATACGGGATGAACATCCGATATAACACACCGGGCAGCGGCAGCATCGAGTGGTTAGATGATCGCGTGAGCTACCAGACAATCCGGTTCCGGGTGCCGCAGCTGGCGGAGATGCTACACACGCTCGTGCAAGAGGCGGAGAAGCTGCTCGGGGCACTAACGCTAAACCCCCCAGGTACGGTAGACGGACTCCCAGAGATCAGATGGGAGCAGTTCGAGGATGACCAGCGTAACACATGGCTGCAGGCGGGGGGTGGCTGGGTGTTCAAACAGCTCGTGCAGTCCACATCACTCCAGAAGACATGGATCAGCACAAGCGCTAGTAACAAAGAGCACCCACTCAAACAAAGCGCCATTCACCAGTATACCGATACATTATTACAGTTCCGGGAGCGGATATTCTTGCTGATGCACATGCTGTCGATGCCGGCGCGTGCAACGGAGATTGCTGGGGTGCGGATGTGGAACACAGCCAATGGCGGGCTACGCAACATCTTCTGCAACCAGGGCATGGTATTCTTCGTAACGGCATACCATAAGAACATCAGGATCAGCGGTCGCAACAAGGTGATCTACCGCTATCTACCACGCGCAGTTGGTTCTCTGCTGGTATGGTATATGTGGTTGGTTCTACCGTTCTGGCGGAAGGTACAGGGTATCATCTGGCAGCGCAGTGGTGGACCCAGTGTATTTCTCTGGGCGGACGAGGTGATAAAGAGGGCGGCCAACACGGACGGATCCGCACAGGCGGCACCAGAGCCCGAGTCAGTATGGTCACCGGATCATATGCGGCGGATTCTCCAGCGGCAGAGCGAACGGTGCATGGGGACCACGCTCACCATCATCAGCTGGCGGCATATCGCCATTGCTATCGCCAACCGCTATCTAAACGAGGCTTTCCGTATAGAAGAGGATACTGGAAGTGTAGAGGATGAGGAGGAGGACGATGTTAACGGTACCACATCAGACCATATACTAGACATCCAGGCAGGGCACGGGAGCCACATCGCCGGTATGATATATGCGCGAGAGCTCCAGCAGCCGACATTCGGGACAGCGCAGCAGCAGATCAGGTTCCAGCGGATCAGCCAGCGGTGGCATCGGTTACTGGGGTTCGACACGCACGAGAGAGGACGGGCAGTGGCCGGAGAGATGAAGCGGACGCTGGAGGCAGCGGAGCTACAGCAGGAGAGCGGTCGGTACCAGCGCTTCCACCGGCTACAGCAGGTATCTGTACACGGGCAGCTCCGGGCGATGCTAGGGCCAGATGCGGCGTTCCGGGGCCAGCAGGAGAAGGTAATCCGAACGATCATGGCAGGGGCCAGCCCGGTGGTGTATATTACAGGCACGGGCGGGGGCAAGAGCCTGACGTTTATGCTGCCGGCACACTGCTCGCCGGATGGGGTAACGGTGGTGGTTATACCGCTTGTTACACTGCGTACAGACATGTACGAGCGGTGCGAAGAAGCCGGGATCTCGACGCACATATGGCAGAGCCAGGGGCCGAGCCGGATCGCCAGTCTGGTGTTCGTGACGCCCGAGTCGGCGATCACGAAGGGGTTCCAGGACTTCATCCGGCGGCTACAGGTACGGCAGCTGCTGGACCGGGTGGTCTTGGACGAGTGCCACGTGGTCCTGGACGGAGTCGGGCGGTTCCGGCCAGCGTTGGCAGCACTAGGGGGGATCCTGCAGTCATGGGGGGTGCAGCTGGTGTTTCTGACGGCGACACTCCCGCCGAGGGATGAGAATATGTTCCTCCACAGAGCGCAGATCACGAGGCGCCAGGCGTACATATACCGCGGCCCAACGCGGCGGAAGAACATTGCATACTCGGTAGTAGGGCTAGAAACGCACCAGGGCGGCAGGAGCGGCAAGGAAGAAGGTGATGGCGACATGCCCGGGCTCGACCAGGCCAGGAGCATGGTAGCACAGTGGGAGGCACAGG